TTTGAGGTGTGGGAGGTGCGCTGATTCTTTGCTGGTGGCCTGAAACTGCGGTGCCGGTGGCGCGCGCCAGGTTGACCGAATCCTGGACCTCCAGAGGGCCATAGTGACGGAGGTGTTCGGGGAGGAGGCCAGGGAGGACGGGAAGGCGCGGGGGAGGGCGGGCGGCCCAGGGGACCCCGCCGCGGCGGGGGAGGAGGGAGGCAAGGAGGTGAGGTGGAGGGGCCTCGGCGGGACCCGCTCAGCCCCCGCTGGCCATGCCGCCCCACGTCGCTTCCGTTTCCCATTTGCTTGCTCGAGGCGCCGCGAGGCCACTGAGCGCACGTGTTTGCCGCACTTCCTTCTGCCCTGGTTCTGGAACGGACGGGCGGCCGCCCCGCTTCGCTCACCATGACCCACGGCCCAAGAGACCGGGTCAACCCCGCAAGAGGCGGGTCGCCGGCGGTGCCGTGACGACTACCGCCAAATCGTCCGCCGCTGTCGCCGACTGGGCCACGCGCGGGCGCCTCGCTCTCCGGGTCGAACAGGCGGAGCAGTTTGGCCAAGCGACCGCAGACAGCGCCCTCCGCTGGAGGAGGGACGCGCAGCGAGGGGTCAACGGCAGGGGCGGGCGGCATTTCTGGAAGCCGTAACCGCTGGCGAGGCCGCGGCGCCCGTGCGGTCCCACGCCTGCAGTTACGACTACCGTTACGTGACCGAACGCCGGGCGCGCGGGCTGACCGACGGCCGCTGTGTGGGGTGGCTGTCAGGTGGCCGCCGGCGCCGGAAGAGCGTTCCAACAACCTCGAGGCGTGCACTTCCCGCCCGGTAGGTGTCTCTCTGGCCGCTGGGGTTCAAGCGTGGGCTCGTGGGGTGTGCGTGAATACGGGGGGGGAGGGGGGGGAGGGAGTTGAAACGCACGCCGCAACAGACGCAGCTGCTGCGTTACTGTTTTGGTTGCTGCGTATGTTCTTTGCTGCAATTTGGTGACGGTTTCAAACTATCGGGCTGTGAGCGCGGACGCCAGGAGGCTCTTGAGGTCGGAAGGCAGACTTGTTTGTGACGCCGTGTCCAGACGCGAGAGTCTTTTGTGAGCTGGGAAGGGTCCAAATTGTGTGCACACGCGCAGGGGCAATTTCCGCGGCGGAAAAAAAACGAGCTCCGTTGCTTGGCCTGGCGCTGCTACCCAACAAGGGGTGCAACGTCATTTTGAAAACGTATGTTTCACATCTTTGAAAGCCAGCAACGGCCCTACCGCACTGACAAGATCCCCCGCATCTCCGACGGTGAATGCGAGCGGGAGTTCAATTCGATATTAAGCAATAGCCATCCACCGGCAGGAAAGCACGGATATCCAGTTTTGTTAGAGTGTATATTCTATTGCGACAGGGTGGTGGAATCACCCCGTTGGCGGCAGATACTTCCATCCTCACGGCGCGACGAGGGGAACATTTTACGGCCAGATGGCGCATTGCCACGGCAGCGATGGTAGAGGGCACGCACGCGGTCTGGTCAGTCGCTTCTGGCCCGTGAGCGGCTGGTCACCGCAGTGTGGTGAGTTTCTGATGATGTGCCTGAATTTTGAATTGCCTGCCTTGGACGTGCTGCAACGTACCATTGTTCCGGACATTAAAACCGCACTAATGCAAGAAAAATGAAAGAAACAAGATATTCTAAAGTATCAGAGTCACTGTTCCAATACATTTTAGATATGTGCATCCAACGAAGAGCTTCATTTCGTTCAGGGCGATTCGTCATATGCCTAAGCCACTTCATACCAATGGTGCATGGTGATGTCAGCTTAGCCAAATTTCAAACAGGAATACAACGATAGGAATGGCCACTATCACCAGTAAGAAAAGGACCGAATAACACTTTTGCGAACACACATAAAACACATTTCTTCAAAGTTGTGCATGCTAAGAACACAGAAACAACACAAATCCGTAAACTTTGTACACGTTTGAACACGTGTTATTTGGCCCTTTTTTCCTAGTGTATGTTGCCGTCGCCTTGCAATGACACTCACCTCCGTGATTCCTACAGCTCGATTCCAATCCATGGCGCTGCAATCGTGGACCGGTGCATGCGGTGCGAAGCGACGGCGTGTGCAATCCCTCACTGTGGAGGGCACGAGCCGGAGGAGTGCACGCGGATCGTCCACAGGGATTCCCAACTGCGACGAGACGTCGGCATCCGAAATCCACGAGAGTTGCAACAGTGTCAGGGGCTACCCCGTCAAGCCGGAACAGCCCGGGTGCACCATCTACTGCTGCCACAAGGAGCCTTACAGGCCGCGGCAGACGGCCGAAATTGTGACGCCAAGTCCCACCAACCACGATGGATACAGGCAAGGGCGCGCCCGTTTGCGCAAGGCGATGCACCAGCAGCGCGCAATTGTTGCCAGAAGGCTGAAAAGCTTTCTCCGTGGATTTTTGCGGAGCTGGAAGCAGGTTGTCCATTCGCCAGGCGCGTGGCGGGGGCAAGAATTGCAACACTCTACTCAATGGATGTGTAATTATCGAGGGCAGATTTTTACTCCATCCATGACGATGCCATCATGAGTACACGGTAAATGTAGAAGTAGTTTGAAATTCAGCTTTCTCTTCAACTTCAAACTCATTTAAGTTTGAATTTCTCCTCGTTTGTTGGATTCGCCTGAATATCAAGCGTCTCAGGGAGGGGCCACCATCGGCTTCCCTGAAAGAAAATCATGAACTCAAGCTCCATTTGCCCATGTTTAACGCAGATGGCGGAAGTACGGCCAGAAAAAGGTGAAGGGCAACACCAACCCGCGCAGCTACTACAAATGCACCTCGTCGGGATGTCCCGCTCGTAAGATGACGGAACGCCACCCGCACCACTCTGAGACGTTGATAGTGACTTACGAGGGAACACACACACACGCCGCGCCGCTGCTCAGGCACAGGACGCCGGTTCAGGAATCCGGGAAGGTGCACTCAAGGGGAAACTTCAGCTTCGTGTTTCGAGGCTCGCCGGCAGTCCCAGGTAGTCAGCTTTCTGATCGAAGCGGTAGAAAGGGACTGTACTTAGCTTAGCAAATTGATTAACAGCCGCTAGGTACCTTGCGAAACTCGCCAAATTCCACAAAGACATTTTTTCGTGAGCAAGGCAATGTGGCCAACGTAGTACAAAATATTCTTTTCTACATCAGAGAATATCAGAATATACTGATAAAAATGCACTCCATGTACATTCGTCATTATTTATTATTTTTTATACATCTTCCATGCCGTAGTTAATAAAAATAATCAGAAAAATGCTGCATCGTAACCGCAATTATATCGAACACTGGCATTCAATGCTCGCCGCTGTCGGTGGATTACCGTAGGCCTCCACTAATCGCGCCTCACAGCCTTTAATCTCCTGTTTGCGCAAGCGCAGCTTGATGCAATGCTGCCATGGGAAATTCATGGACTCACGCGTCAACGATGATGCCTTTTCTTCATGTGGTTATTTCCTTTCACTCGTCTTGCTTGCGTTCTGTCCCTCGCATCGAAACAAGCTGCACTTTGCTGCGCAGGTTGTCCCCAATATGTCCGCCCGTACCGTCGACGTTCCATGCCGATTTGATCCGCGCAGGCCATGCATCAGCCTCACCGGGTAGTACTTTAGGGGGGCAAAAACCTGTCAGAGGGGGGCCTGGAGCTTCACCGGCGTAGTGGGAAGTGAATGCTGAGTGGCGCATGGGGGCATGGGATGGCCGTGCATCACTGGTTTTGGAGGAACGGGTAGAAACGAGGGATTTGGTGTATGGGCGTGTGGATGGGCTCCGCCTGTGACTGCCCTTACTCAAGGGGCAGTCGCGGAAAGGGGTTGGGGGTGGCGAAATGTGAGAAGCATTCAAATGAGCTGTCTTGGCTCTATGGAGTCGCTCAGAGTGATAGGTAGTCATGCAGAAATGTGTACTATATATTCAGAGACCTGCCAATGTACATCTTGAACGAAGTTGGCTACTGCTCATAGGGCATGTATAACTGGGGATTTGCTCAAGGCAAGGCAGCCTCTCGTAGCTCGATTATCTGCCTCTTAGCCGAAGATATGTTAGCATAACTCCTTGGGAATTTATACTAATAACGAAGGTGCTGTTAGTAAAAATCGCGGTCAAGTGATACGCGCTGTGGGGTTTGTGTAACTGCGGTGCGTGCGTAAGTAAGGGACAGAGTAAGTCAGAATCATAATGTATTGGCAGCTTTACGCAGAATCTGTGTACATGTGCAAGAGAGAAGTTCATGCCTGACTTGCGAAGCATTTCGAAACACAAGAAACGTCACGCTGATGCATTTATGGCTGACGCAATAGCCTGTGTATCAGAAAACACGCAGCGGCGCCGGAAATTGTTACTAATAATGTCTTTGCCTTGGCTTTGATACCAAGCTCGTGCAATGTGTCAATATCTGAAGGTGCGGTACGCTTTCATCTAAAAGGCACCGTACCCTATTTATCGGCCAAGTTTCGCGCTTTGGGGACAAACCTTGGCACTGGAACTCGCGGTCATGGTGAGAATGAGGATTGTTATTCAATTGCAAGCAATGGTGTTCTTATGCATGCACACGCTCAAATATGGCTTTTCCATACGTAGGTTTTCATATTCACGCACGATTGAACCAGGGCCTGTATTGCCCAACTAGACTGCGGCCTCTCACAGAACGGCCATTTCCAACATCAGTTCAATTCAGGCGTGACCGTTCATTGGATATCAATTCCCCTGCATCTACATTTTCTGTTGGAAAAAAGGACAGCACGACACCCACGACAACCCACTATTCACCATCTCTCCACAGGCTACAGCCCCGTCTTAAATTAACGACAAATCGCACTGTAATAGTAGTGCCACTCCCAGCAGATATCTTGCTATAGATATTTACATTCCTGCGCTAATCGTAGCCTCGTCTTGTGAGCCCTCCGCTGCAACTTGTGCAGCAGGCGGCGTGGCAGGTCAAAATCCCCCGAATCTCCAATACCCAAATACAAATTCCGTAGATTCTCAGGTATGCGCCTCCTCATGAGCCGGCAACCAGCCCCGCCGGGGCTGTTGTAGTGTTGGTCATCAACGGCCTGAAGCCCAGCTCTTCCGGTGGGATACCGAATTCTGCTAGTTTGGCCTCATACACGCAGATGAGGTCATTGTGCGCCTTTGAGACCTTCGCAACGTCGTACTGGAGCGCTTTGATGATGCGGTTCTTGCTGTTGAGTACCTCCTCTAGCTTGTTGTTGATCTGCAGGACAGAAGGGATGATGCGTAAGCGTTTGGACGCTGCATGAGCTGCTCGCGGCACGCGTCCACATCCTTTCTGCAGAAATGCACCTGTGAGGTGCGCAACGCGCTTCGTCGGTGACTTGCAGCAGGTCATTGCTATTAACACCGGGATCTGATGCTTGCGTTGTCGATGCTTGAGATAGTGTTGGTCCAATTTCCAGGCAGTGGAACGGGCAGAAATTCTTACTAATATACTCACCATGTGAATATCAAAATAGCAATCTTGAAAATGCCAAGCTCTTTCAATTTGCGTTGTTGTACAACAATACATATGTAGTCATTTCGAAATGTCGAAAAACCGCAAGAGCAATTAATTGCGGCATGCTCAGATGGGGCCATGCCTTGTAATATTGAAAGCGCTCTGCATGCAGCTGTTTGTGGAGACAGTTGAGGAATTTTCGTGTTACGTGGAAGCCGCATTAGAAGAGAGCCACGCAGCCGACTATTTGGAGGTAATCAATGGTATAATTTTGCATTTATTCGTTCTGTAAAAAGCAAATGTGTGGGAGCTGTATGCGCGTGGCTGGCGTCGCAATCTCTGACCTGCTGGACGGAAGCGGGGTTCATGTTCGATGACACGATGATTTCCCCGATTTGCGCCTCCTTCTTTTCGATTTCTTCCGTCATTCCCTCAACTTTCTTCTCTAAAATAATGCTCTTCATTCCCGCCTTCTGCTGCATCGTGTATATTGACGATTCGAACTTCTCGTACAGGGAATCCCTCTCCCTCTGAACCTCCTCAAATCGCTGCCGCATGACCTCGCTCTCCCATTCCAGGTTTTTGAATTGCTTCTCCGTGTTGCAGAGGCGGGCCTTGGTGTGTTGCAGAGACGCCTTGTCCTTTTCGTAGTTCGCGAGCTGCTGCCTGAGACTCTCGACCTACGCACACTGGGAACAGCACTCGTCAATTGAACAAGATTTCAACACCACTGAATGCATTCCATAACGCAAGGAATTTTGGTATGCACACATGAGATTCTGTTCTGTGGTAACATAACGGCGGCTTATCAGAGGCGCGAGCCGCATCCAGCCAAACTGCAGCTGTCGGCTCAATGGGAGCTGACTCTCCTGAGCTCGTACTTCACGTTTACCTTTCTTTGGGGAGAACGGCAGCTCCATTCTTCGCTCATTTCGTCTGTTAAACAAGACGACATCGCAGCGGGATTAGAAAAAATCGCCCATATCCCAACACTGTTCGCTTCAATTGGCCGTACATCGACGGTGACAGCTTGTGTTATTATTCAGAAGTCACCAGAACTTGTGGTTTACTAACCCACATTACGTGAGCGCCTCACCTCCTTCAGCGCTCTTGTCAGTGGGTCCGACAGGCGTTTGTTCTCATGGGCGATCTCGTACATCAGCTTCTCGTTCTGCGTCTCCTTCTTTTTCATTTCCGTCACGTCCTCCTTCAGGGTCTTGATGAGGTCGAGATTGTTGTGCGTGATGTCGTTGTAGTAGTTCTTTATCTCGGCGAAGGCCTTGTCGTGCTTTTTCATGAGGTCGTTGATGTGAGTATTCTTTCTCTCCTCTATTTCGTGAATCTCTTGCTTGCGGCGCAGGTCTAAATCGTCACGAAGCAGCTTCATCTTCTTCTCGTACTTCAACTGGAGCTCCCTCGCTTGAAGCTCAAACTCCTGCCGAAGCTTCGTGATCTCTTTGGTTTGCTCCAACTTCATTTGGCGTACCAGTTCTTCGTGTGACAGTTCCTGCGTCGAGGGGCGTTGGCGATGTTGGAGTTGGGAGGAACAGGGCGGAACGCCGCCCATTCCATTTAAAGGTGCGATGAAAATACACTTGATTCGTCACTGAGCGAATATGTGCCATGATCCTGAAGGTGGTTAAGGCATTGATTAAGCTCTTTCCTGTGCACAGGACGTGCGCTGTCTTCGATGCAAACGCTGAAAGTAAAACTTCCGCTGGGAATAGAACAGAAATGGAGGGTAGGGATTAGACACCTCGGAGGGAGTCTACTTAGGGAAGCAACGGAAAACACCCAGACGCTGTAACCAACCATTCACACTGCAAGTCATGCAAAGCATGAGTGAATGCAGAGAAAGCAGTCTCCCACGATACAGAATCTAGAATCTACATGCAGCGAACAATGTACCGCAACAATATTTGGGCCTGTTGCGATAATTGCTCGGGTTTACGTGAATCAAAGTCGGAATCTGACTACAGCGGTGTTTGGATTCAAAAGCGCAAAAAACATGAGTCTGGTTTTGCATCCAACTTATAGACAAATGCAAATGCAAGGTGATCCTGAAATTAGCCGATCAGGGTCACATTCTGGCCCCTCACCTGCTCTCTACCATCCATTTTCAGTAACCTCTTGTCACCTTCAAGCTCTGCTCTTCGATTCCGGAAATCGTCTTGCTGTAGTTTCGGCGCCTGCTCCGAGTCTGCCTTCAGTGCAGCGATGCCGTTCTGGTGCTCGTACAGCAGATGTTTAACTTTTTGCTTGTAGACCTGCAGCAGAAAATTGGGGAAAATGTGAGAGACCGCGCTGGTAGATACATAAATTCCATCTAGTCGGCAAGCATATCGTCATCAGAGGGCCTATAGCGCTGGTAATGGAACTAGCGATACGTGGCAAACACCGATGGGTGGGTAGATAATCACCTTGTCACATCTGACATCCATACATTCAAGCTGATGTTAATTATAATATTGGTTTCTAATTCACTGCACATAGGATGCGCTGGATAACAATGTAATCTTCGACTGAGAGCCAATTGAAATCTTTCATTCCTGAATCCTGAAAACTGCATATTCACTGCCAAGAATTCCCTCATCGACGATATTCCATCACCAGGTATCCGAAAGAAGTGATATTCTAAGCACTCGAGTGGCGTACTTACCTTAATTTCGACCTGCTGCCGCTCTTCCATCTCCTCAATTTCTCTGTCTTTGTTGCGCAGCTCGGCTTTCTTTTCTTCCAACTCCTTTTTTGTAATTTCCCAGAAAGCATTAATTTTGTCCTGCACAAAGAAGCCGTTGGAATGTTTTTATTATACCCCAAAATGCGCCAGTATCGTTACGATATCCTCTGGCGTGTCTACAGCTATTATTTGAGTCAATAAAGAATTTTTCACATGCCTTTCCACCGGGTTGTAAAAATTGGTCATCCCTGTGACATCACGGGGAAAATTGCTTGTCATGTATCGTGCATGCGGGGCGTATACCTTATACAGTGGTACAGAAATAGTTTGGCCCAATTGTAAATAATGCAAACCAAGGTCGTTTGTTCGGCGAGATATCAAAGAGGGAGGTAGACATGCAAGGTGTGCACCGACTACACATATTTGCAAATTTGTTCCGTTCCTGGTTCACTTATTTTAAACTAGAGATGCATTGCTGTATATCAGGGAATTAATTGAATCAGCGTCGAAACTGCCGTTGCAGTTAGTACATCTTCTCAAAATTTTATCTCAACATGACTGCGTTTAGAATTATTTCAAACATTTGGATGGAAATTAGGCAAAGGTATCACAGTTCCAACCATGTGCGGAATTGCCCTGACGGCGCAGTACTTGACGGAAAGCGCAATGGAACACTTTTTTCTCACCGACAAGCAGGAGACAGAAATAAAATAGGAGATAATGCTTCGCGCTAAAGATACCATTGGGTTCCATTAGATTACGAGAAACTTACTGCCGCAATCGCAGGGGTGGAGTTTTACTGTGGTTGCTGGTGATATAATTAACCATTGCTATGCATTCTAGGAACAGATGTCCCATGCCCCGCTTCTAAGGAGTAGATGAACGGCATAACGACAATTAAAACGGACATACAATCAGGATCAGAAAGTACAATGAGTTGCTAGTAATCCACGAATTAATAGTAACATTTCTCATAATCTGACAGCGACGGAAAGTGGCGCCAATTGGGCTTGCAAGCCCGTCCCCAAACTTACAAAATGTGGTCACACGCCTTGCAATAACGCAGGGTTTCGAGCAATTCATTGAAAATGAAGAAGTTTGATCCTGTTCTCTTAGGTGTCACGGACGTGAACATGGACAGAAAAATAACGGACGAGGACAGAGCGGACAAATGAGCATTATTGTCGCCGACAAAACCGGATAAGCTCCCCCCCCCCTGCTCCCCCTTGCCGCACCCGCTCCAGCTGCATGTAGTTCCTGTACTCCTCCTCCTTGTTCTTCTCCTTCTCCAGTGTCGCGATCTTCTGGTTGAGTTCCTCGATGGAGGCCGCCTCCACGTCCCCTCCCGGCGCCACATCCCGCCGCTCCTTCTTTCCACCCTGCGCGTGCAGTGCCCGCACTGCGGGTCAGGGCCGGCGGGCAGAGTGGGGCGAAAGTTGAACAGCCGGTACGCCGGACTTCGACGGGTCGCTTGTGCTGGCCCAAAGGGCGCACCTTGGCCTTGGCCTTCTTCTTGGGGCCCATCCTGATCACTGGGCGGGTGCTGGGAAGGCTGGTGCCGAAGGGGCCTTAGGGGCCGCCGGGGCGGCTTAGGGGCCGGGAGGTGCCGATGGTGGCAGGGGCGGTGGCCTGTACAGGAGGCGGTGGTTGGCGCCGGGGCGGGGGCGGCGCTTGGGTGCCCCGGGGTTTAAAGGCCCGGGCGGAATGGACAATCGGTGAAAGGATAAATCGTTCGACAAATGAAACTACAAAATTTTTGATGTATCGATCAGTGTTGCATGGCGCGGTGGTCGTAGCAACCAGCTCCCTGCCTATGGGCAGGGAGCTGGTTTCTACGACTTTCTTAGCTCAGTACTTCAAGAAGAACTGTGGCCATGATTTGATCAGTGACAAGCCAGCGTGTTCCTGCAGCCAAGCCATTTCTTTCGTCATTAGCAGTCACCTGTTGAGGAAAATAATACGATGGTGTATTAATGTGTTGCTTGTGAAGCGACCCTAAGATACTGTGGAGCGTGGCGCACTGCTGGTACTCGGCTTAAAGAATCTCTTTATTATGTCATAGTTTTTTGCTTGCACAATTCTTTCTTGCAATTTCTGCAAGCCGAATCGCCGAATTGAATAAAGTGTGAAAAAAAGGAAACGGGAATGAAGACCGACTGACCGTATGTAATTCGGTGCTGTGAAAACGGGTGCAACACGTGCAAAGTCTCAATAGTGCATCCGAGAACCGCTTCTCTTCGGTGCAAGATGGGATGGCCCTTGCTGCGGACCATCTCTTGGACCAAACCTGATGGAGCTTAACACGACGTCCGCCGTCGCCCACCTTCTATTTGAGACGCTGCTGTGGAGCATGCGCGGCAGGCTGCTCGGGACATCAACATTGTGGGCGTGGTAGCCATACCTTCAAATGTGTCAACAGTAGGCCATGGGAAACTCCAAAAAAAGCTCACAGAGTTTGGTGCAGCGGCTTTGACGGGGTGCAGGTGGCAGACTGGAGGGTAGGCAAATTCCTCCTAGTTGTTCAGGACACGTTTTCACGAAAAGCGATGCTGTGAGAAACGTCGGCGAATTGTTTTTAGGGGAACTTGAGCGCGGAGACGGCCAAAGCGACCTGGGAAATGGCTGTGCGCTCGGCGGCATGAGCAATCAGGGTGAGGTGAACCGTCGGTGGACTGGCTGAACCAGAGCTTTGCCGATGCCGGGCCCTTGCCCGGCAAGGCTCCAGGGCACAAAAAAATGCGTGGACGGTTGTAACCTTTGCAGCAAGTTTCGGTCTTCAAGATACCACAGTCTTTGAGCAGTTTGGTTTTGTCAGACACCAACCACCAAGGGAACTGCGATTGAGCAAAAAAAACTGCAACATGAATGGGTCCCATTCATGGACCCACGTGGGTGCGAGCAGTTGGATTGCGGCGTGACGCAGCTCGAATCCCGGATTCGATGTCCCGGATTCGTCAACCGCAATCCACGTGGGTCCTTACAGTGCCAAAATGCCCCAGGTTCCCGCCAGCACGGCGGGGTGGCCTTGGCGCCATGGCCGCGCACAGCCTCCCAGCGCTCGGGCCCCGACTGGGGGACGCACACCGTGCCCAGGGTAGGCCCGGCAAGCGGTGCAGCCCCGAACCGCGTCAAGCTGGCGGCGCGTTTCGCGGCTGCAGGGGCGAGATTGGCGGTACGCAGGAGAAATCCACCGTGGTGGGAGGTTAAGGATTGGGTGTCGACAGTTGGGTGTGGGCCAAATGGTGTCCGATTGCAGTTGGCGTTTGGGGTCAGTGTATCGCGGGTCGACGGGAGGCTGCTTCCGAAATGAACGAGAGAAGTTTGCGCGGCGTCGATCCCCAATGATAGGAATGTTTGGAGGGCATCCACGCCGTCCTGGGGAACCCATTGGTGGGCAAGGACGTCCGCACAAAGCTGCCGCGCGCCCGAATGTTTGCAAGCGAAGCAGTGGTGCGTTCTTGGGTGCTCACCCGTCGTTCATGCGGATTGCCTTTCGCACACCCTCGGGGTGCTTTTTGGCTTGTAGAACCATTCTGGGACAGCAAACACTCAATTTGCCGTGGTCTGTCCCACCTCCGTTGTGCCGACAAGAGATCAGGATGCTCTAGTAGGTGCACTGTGATTCACAGACGTGAAATGCACGCTACAGTTGGTAGTACTTTAGCACCAGCGGGTGTTGGGTGTGGCACGGGGGACGGGCCATGAACGCAAACGCTGATGGACGTGAAGAGCGCCAGACAACACCTGATAGAGTCAAGGGTATGGCTTCGCCATATTCCAACAAATGCAAGCAAGACGGGTCTTCGGCACAGTGTATCATGCCAATTGGATCAGCCTCCTGTTGTTGGCAAGCACCACCATCATTCTGGCTCCAACATTGCGATGCGTGGTGTTGTGTCCAGGCAGATGGGCTGTCATTGTGGCGCCCAGCTCGCTGCGGAAACGCTCTCGAAACGAGCGATGCCAGGCATCTGAGGCGGATCTGACCTCCCTATCCGAAACTCCTCGGAGGGAGCTTGATGGCACCACATTGAGGTTTGTGCAGTCAAGGACCTGAGAAGAGCAGGGGCGCTCATTTTCTTTCGTCTGCCTGTCCTTGTGGCATTGAGCAAACTGGTTGCTCAAAAGTACAAGGGTGCCATATGCGAAGAAGTTGTGCGAATGCGAAATGAGCTGATATACCTGGCATTATGGGTAGAACGGCACAGCACAGTGAAGCCATGTGCCGCATTGTTTGCTTGTAAGCATACCAAAATGAAGTCCACCGCACATGATTTTAGGCAGTAGTTCCATGGATGCACACCAGAGCATAAGTTTCAAGGATGGCTTTCCTGGATGTGTGCCAGGGTTACAATCTCCACTGAAGATGCTCAACAGGCACTTCAATGGGATTTGCTGCAGGAAAGGACTGGCCAAATTGTTGTGGTGTCTGCCGTGGCGCCAGGGAGCCAAGCGCAACAGGTGACCTGGAAGGAAATTTGCTGCTTGTGCCAATGTGTTTTGGCAAATGCCTCTGCAGTCTGTCTTTGGTTGTGCACAGGCTGTCTGTATAATTGATGCAAAATCTGTGAAGCCGTGGTTGACTTTCTTCAAATGTTGTATTGTAAGTTCAACGGAGTTGAATGAACAGATTGAGTAAGTTATTCAGAAAATGGATAGCGCAAATCAGAAGCTGTCAAAAAATGACAATTCACTTGTCACATTTTTGTAGGTATCTTGAAGGCGATGATTGCACTTTCTTGACAACAAACCTAAAGGTCTTGTGAAGTACTGACTACACTTTGTGGTTACAAGGGCACCGTTTCATTATTGGGCCAAATGTGACCACAGAAAAATTTGTAGTTGAGCTTATTTGCATTCTTGTCAGATTGCCTATCTCCTCTAGGTTCCATCACCTGTTACCTTCGTTCGTCCCCTTGTCACTGGTTCTCTCTTTGGGCTTGAAAAATAAGTGTTGTAGTGCACCGCTGCTTATTATGCGACGTGCGCCATCACCATGGTGTTACTTTACCTTGATTCTGGGTTTACTTTCTGTACTTTAACGCTCCATTGTTGGCCACATACAAACCATTTTAATTCAAAATCCGGCTCGACACTGATGGCAACTTGCAGCACTGAAGTCCCGTTTTTCAGTCCAAAAAATTGCAGCCATCCTTGTACGAACACACTTCAGGCTTCTATGAAAAAGGAGATCCAACTTCTGACTGTCCAGAGCACGGAGGTGGTGCATGAGAACACACAAGCCTTGTTAACAAACACACAGTAGGAGCCCCTGATGTCGCCGAAGAGGTCCAGGTGCAGCGATGTGTTCGCCTTCTTCTGGCGCTATGCAGGGAATGCGAATTTGCCTAATGCCTCTGCCGATTATGCGCTCAGACACAATCACTCCTGGTGGCCTTTCTGTTGTGCTTAGGTTGGCATAGCCGTGGGCTACAGGCTGTGTTCGATATCCGACCCTGTGCGTCCGGATGAGATGTGGCCACTCAATGACAGGGCGAGCGTCCGATTTGTGAGGGACTCCATCAAGTTCAGGCGGCCAGGCACAATCAATCTTGAGTTTGAGTTGCCAGGTACATGTACAGCTGTGTAGGACGTGAACGCTGCCGAGTTGCACAGCAGGAGCCGTCCAAAAATTGCAAAACTGCTGTCTTGGTGAGTTGTTGTTTGCCAGAATCCGATTGCAATGCTGAACTCGAGCGGTCAGCGCTACTGCAGGACGGCTTTCCTGGCGTTTCCAAGTTGCAGTTCTGGCTGCGATCTCAGACGAGGGCGGCAATTTGCGTTTACGGGAGAGCGCATGCAAAGGACGACATTTATAGGAGAGCGCTTGGGCCAGGCCGTCCTGAGATCAACCTTTTGCTGCCCTGGTGGTCCAGATGTACACAGGCATCTGCTTGTATTTGTGAGGTAATGGGCAGTGGATCCAGGGGCCCAAATACCAGAGCCCATGTGGCGGCGCTGAGTTTCCTGATTTCCTTTCTTTGTCCAGCGGGGGCGGTGTCTGAGGCCGACACCACGACTGTTGGCGACCGGCTGGCACAAAAATATGAAAGGGATGAAGACAAGCGGAAGGCATTGTCAGATGTGCAGAAGAGGATCCGAAGGCGAAAAGATTACATGGAGGAGGTTGGCCAGGTGGGCCGCCCTTCACTCAATCTCATGTTCAACGGCCCTTTGTGGTAGCGACGAAGCATCTGCTCTGGAAACGCTGCAGACGAGATAGTGGTGTGACTGGCGTGGTAGCTACACAAGCCGATAATCTGCACTGCAGTCCCCTACTCGCGCTCTCGGTGCAGGCTGTACATCATCATACCCGTCATGCTGGCACGCTGCACGCTGTAATTGGTATGTGTGCTTATCCAGGCTGACCCAAAACAGGGAAAGCCTGCAGAGCGCATAAGAAATGGCATGAGCACTAGTGGCCGTCGTTAACTGTTGATTGCTGTGCTTCGACAGCGTGACGACAGTGCATTCTTCACAGGTGCGATTGCCTCTGTTGTCGTACCCCCACTCCTCATTTTGCTGGTGGCGTACTTCACGGGCTACCTTGATGTCTTGTACATGGGGGTCACGAGGAGGTGATATGAATGTACATGCATGCAACTTAGCCCTTCATTGTGATTTATGAAGAGTCGCACACCTTTGGGGTGTGTGTGCGAGTGACTGTCATGTGGATATATCACCCCTTTTAACTTTCTCCATGAATTGTAATTGGAACGTCGGTATTTCAGCTGTGCCGTGGTGCTGTTTCTTGACCTTTGGCCTTTGAATTGGAGCTTCTCAACTTCAACAATCGGATGACAAAACGGTGCTTGACGGATCCAGCTCAGTTGTTCTGAGCCAATACCCGAACAGCTGCAAGTGCAACCCGCCACTGTGTCCCGAACCTCGCTGCAAGGGATGATGACGATGGGATGAAGATGGGAAATGCTGCCTTAGCTGGCCGCCACACTGCTGGCAAGGTACACTTATAAGGTTGTAGCTGGCCGCCACACTGCTGGCAAGGTACACTTATAAGGTTGTAGCAAGGTACCGTTTCATTTTAACACAAAGCAACACATGGCGGGGATATCCCAGGTACAGAGAGTCGGGCGAGTATGAAGTTGATATTTAGTGTGACAGAATGGCCTGGTGCGGCCTAACCAGCTGGCCAACATCAGGCCTGCCTTCCATTGGTGACTGGGCCTGATGGCTTCCATGGTTCATTCAGGGGACGTGGAAAGCTAGCAACATTAAGAGGGAAGTAACAGTGGGAACTGCATTTGTGAGCCAGCTTTCATCCCCACAATTGACTATTTCGGTTTGCTCGTTTGCTCAGCACAGAACTGTTTCTGTCCTCTTGCCTCCTCCCTTTCTTGCATCTCTGCCTTGTCTGTGCCATCAATGGTGTGGTATTTTTTATAAAGCGTTTGCCCTAGACGCAGTGCACCCTTGCTGCAACACTCTACAGCTATAAATAGCACTGCATCGGGGGCTGAATGCCCTATCAAGGCATGAGGCTTGAATAATCTGACTCTGCTGTCAAAAAGTTATAGCAAATCACTGCCCTTGCTCCTCTAAGGAATGAGGCACACAAACAAATGCTGCTGGTGTGTGTTGGTTCAAGCTTCATCATGGCCACAGAGAGCGTTGCTTCAGCTCATAGCTTCAGTCCGTCAATTCGACAGTTGCTCTGTACCCAATGAACTGTAAGCAGGATAGAAGCATTCCACTCTCAACGCCAAGCGCATATCTGCAGAGTTTGGAAGCCGTCTGGTGATAGGTTCAGTCTTTCCAATCTTGCAATGCTGTGTGATTGTTGTCATGGCAACCCGATACTCGCAGTCTCCAAAAGCCTTGCAATACATCATGCCTTGGTATCCATGGCAACATGAGATAGGAACTCAGAGTTGAGGTCAACCATTATGTGGAAGCCAATGCACAGCATTTGTCAACAAAACAAAAGGATTCAAGTCCTTGCACTTCATTAGTGCTGTGGGTAGATTTTGTTCACCGGCCACCTCTGGGTTTTCGGGGGGCATGGCGACCCAACAGGTGCCTGTCGCAAGGCGGTCACTGTTGTGGTCACCATCGGTGGTCCTGGACAAAGATTTTAGACTCCCAGGGTTGCCTTCGGTTGGAGGCACGCAAATTCCATCATGGCCCCAAACGGAATGACATGACAGGAAAGAAAAGAGGAGAAAGGACAAGGCGGAATGGGAAATCAACTCGAGGTGGCCATTGAGCACATGGTGGGGATCATCACTTTGACACGCCATGAAATCTCTGCAAGAGGTGTGAAAGACACGTGCGGTGATAGCAGCCACAGGAGGAAGCCGCCAGCACCCAGTATGAGCCCAGGCTCCTGAATTTCGGACCGCATTTTTTCAGAATTGATGACATGGTACAACAAAGCATTGAAAAAATAGAAGGCACATCTACCTCCAAGGCCCCCATCGTCTCTTCCCAACGCAGCTGCCCCCGCGCCCCGCCGCCGCGTCGCTACCGCGCCACCGGCGGCGCCTCCGCCATGGCGGCCGGCAGCTCGCCAAACTTGTTCAGCGGCCAGTACACGAACACGGCCCTCCCCAGCACCCTGTCCACGGGCAGGGGCCCCCAGATGTGCGAGTCGTACGACTGGTTCCTGTTGTCCCCCATGACGAACACCGACCCCGCCGGCACCACCAGCCTCTGCAGCGTGTACGCGGGCGCCTCCGCCAGGTAGGGCTCCGCCCGCCGCTGCCCATTCACCAAAAGCGCCCCGTCCCTCACCTCCACCGAATCCCCCCCCGTCGCCACCACACGCTTTATGAACACATCCTCACCGAACAGTTTCTTCGGCACCACGCCCTCGACCGGATGGAAGATGACGATGTCCCCGGCCTCCGGCGGCCTCTGAAACCTGTACGTGATCTTCTCGGCCACCAGCCGGTCGCCCACGTCGAACGTCGGGTACATGGACAGCGACGGGATGAACCTGGGCTCCGCGATCAGCGCCCGGATGGCGTAGGAGATCCCCAGCGCGATCGCCACCGTCAGGACGTCCCCCCTGCTCAGCCGCAGGCCGTCCGGCCACCACTGCGGCCACGCCCCCCACCCGTCGTCCTCATCCTCGCCCTCATCGTCCCCGCCCGGCCCGCGGCCGTCGTCACCGCGAGATTCGATCGGAGGGGATACTACCTGGGCGTCAGGATCGACGGCCAGGACGGGCGCGCCCGGCGATGCCGCATCGGTGCCTGATGAGCCCGAGTCCTCGCCGCCGGCCACGGGTGTGATGGACGACCGGCGGCTGCGCATGGGGCCCGAGGGTGGGCCGAGCCCGACGGCCGGAGGAGCGCGGCGGGCCAGGGTGCGGCCGAGGCCGAGGCCCAGGGAACGCGCCAGACGGACCGGGCACCGCGAAGCCAGGAGGGGCCCGGCCATGGTGGAGGGGAAGGGGGGAGGTTTGGCGCCCGATCGGCTGCCAGGCGGGGTCGATCGTATGCTGATGTGCGGGGACGGATCTGCGCCCCGGCTCTACGCGTAGCATCCGTACGCGCATACGGTGTTATGGACGGCACGGTGAATGGGGTGAGGGATTTCATCAATGAATGGGGCATGTATGCGGAAGACTGCCACCTGTGAGGCACATTCCAGAACCAACGAATGAGGAAAGGGTTTCTGTCTCTCGACTTGTAACAGAAAAAGCTGGTGCTGTGATGAACACCCGCTCTTGCCACGACGGGTAGGAGCACGGGGTTATTGGCCGGCGATCTCCCCGCTCCCGTTTGCGCACTGCGAGGGACCAGTCGACTGATCGAGAATTAACAACGGGCAGCGTTGGTATGCTGGCTGGACGCATGGTGACGGTGCTGAGGGCACAGTCCTTGAATTGGAACATCTGCAGTCACATGTGTGAAAAATGTGCCTCATCGTGACCACCCACCAGGCAAGGTGTTTTCCGTGGGTCGGTTATTTGGTTCCGGAGCAACTGATGCTGCGGCAGCACTGTTCCCGAGTCTCGCACTGCAGCTGATACAAACCCAAATCGCTTTGACATCCGCCCTCGAACTCTCATCCGCTCGCAGGCATGCGGGACGCCAAGGTCCAGGTCTCAAGGCCCTCAACGGGGATGCTGGCCGAATTGGACATTTCCGTTTGAACTTTCGTTTGAGGGGCTGACGGCAACCGGAAATTGGCGATCCAAAGAGGAGGGTTGCGTGGGTCTGCCCTTTGACGGGGGGCAACCGCTGCGCGGAGAGTGCAAGCGTCAAGCATACTGAGCTGGGGTCATATCGGTTGCTTTGGCCATACTATCCACTAGTGATGGCCAATTTGAAGGCAAGGGCCCTACAAGTACTTGTGAACAAGGAAGCATCTCCATGCAACTCAAGCATTACAGCATGTCTCTCCATACATCCAGCAAGAGCGGTTTCACCTCCTCTCCAAATGGTCTCACGCACTCAACATCGCCAGCTACCGGTGACCAAAATCTCCACTTGGGCCCAGCGACGCAGGCCGCACCGCGTGGTCATTCTGCTACACGACCTCCGCGCGGCAGACCGCAAGTAGTGCCACGCTGGCGGACGCCTCACCCACCGCCAAATCGGCCACTAGGGCTTTCAACAAGACTGGGCACATCAGTCCAGGCCCCCGATGTCGGATGCAAACAGCTGAGCCAGGGACCTGCCCTCCACTCTCGCAGACCTGAAGTCCTCCCGAAGGTGTATGTACTTCATGGCCTCTTTGTGGCTCATGCGGAGGGTCCCATCGACTAGCGCCACGAGGCTCTCCGGCGCCACAATGAACACGTTGGCCAGCTGTTGGAGGTGCTCGAACAGCTGCTCCAGCGGCTGCAGGCCAAAGGTGCGCACTGCTCCGACGTACTCCGCCATGTCCCGCTTTAGCTTGAGGGCACCCATGGGGGATATGGTGAAGCGCGTCAAGTGGTTCAGAAGGGTTTCGTGCATTTGGCATCCGGCCTGGGGCACACGCGACAACTTATGTTTCCTCTCATCGCCTTGTAGGTGGCAGCGCAACGAATTGTCTCTGAAATCCGTGAATGGCAATCAAAGGTCCAGTACACGCCTTCAAGTGGCCGTGCTTGCCCCGTCCACATGCCCATGCTCCCATTCGCAGGCCCCAGACAATACCTTACCACAGGACAGAGACCCCATACTGTTTCAAAACTCCATTTCCTTCATTACGCATGGTATTAGTTGCCCCGAGGGCAAATCTAAGGCGCCATTCGTTTGCCGTGCTGCTACTTTGCTTAATCAGTTCTTACCTCGCTCAAGAACGACTCTAGGTTCGTCCCTTCCAAAGTGGCTTTTGCAGCCCTCCCCAGCGCACGGCACAATTCTGCAGCCAGCCTGCAGGCCTTTGTTGGCTGGTCCAGACCCGAGGCAACAACCCCATATGGCCGAAATTCTGCCCTGCGCTGCTCGTTCACTAGACCCTTGTCCATCTGCAGCCTCCCACACAGGAGTGTGAGCCACAGTCTTCATGAACGCATCAACAATCGCAGAGTATCACGGAGAAAGAGGATCAGTGACATAATGGCAGGGGGTGGTGGTTCTGTCCAGAGCTGCCGTACACAGCAAAGGCATCCCACCTCCGCGCCTCTGCGATGCACCAGGCATTGTGAAGGCCACTCAGCCGATGACATAGAACTATTCTCGGTGTTCGTGCTGTTCGTGCTGTTTGTCTTTATGTTTAGAGATGAACGCACATGTCAACAGCGCAGGTTGCTTCTGTTTTAGAGCTGTAAAGCATCATTGCAAATGCCGGACTACCCCTTGTGTATGTTTGACTTCAAACTCTGGTAGGCGTCAAATTGTTATGAGGCATCCTAAAACCTTCACAACAAAAACAGCAGTGGAACGTTTCTCATGGTAGGCGATGGACTGCTTCCGGAGAATACATGCAGTCGGTAATGGAGCTTGTGGAGGTTCAGCAGGACACACCTGAGCAAAAAAATGCTTGAGTCCCTGGTTTAGGTTGAGAAGCAGCCGCTCCTCAACAGCCTTAACCAAGGCAGCCATTCCAGCTCGACAGGCAGACACCTCGGCAATGGATGGCATCACCAGTGGCATGATTATTGCCGTGTAGTATTCCTTCAGGTTCTGCAGAATGCTACTGATTGTCGCCACTGCCTTCAGCACGTTGCCCACCTGAACACCAAGGAAGCCGAAACCTAGATGAGACGAAGCATACCAGAGCGCAAGTCGGCTGCCACATGAAGAGGGCTGTTAGTTGTCTCAGCAAGCCGCATGGACAAAGTTGTTCCAGCACTTGGCTTGAGAGCGGAGTAACCAGGGTCTTCGCTGCTGAGGGAACTATCTGGAAGTTTGTTTGCGCCTTTGAAAACAAATGACAAGTTCTGCCAAGTCTCGCCAAGTCTCGCCAAGTCTTGCCTCTAATGTCACGATGGTTGCACCCCTCATATGCGCATATGTGAGATGGGCCCCCTGCAACACCTCTTGGCGATCCAAGCACCAGGGCAAGAGAGGGTGGGGAGCGGAACTTTGTATCATTTGCCCAGCTGCAGGCCATGGCTGAGTTTTCTGACGAGCCCAGGCACCAAACAATTTCAGGTGTTCTGGTAACCAACGGCACTCACCCCTCGTTCCACCGCTCTGCCCGCCGCTTCGGTGACACTCTTTGCGGCTGCGTCACCCAGGGAGGAGGAAGAGAAAGGTGTAGAACACCCAATTTCACAGTCGTCAAGTGCCTTCTCCATGCCCCTCATCGTGTGCCTGCGAGCGATTAGCAACCAATCAGACTGCTGTGTGCTCACCCCATGATAGAATTAGTTGAATCTGGCATTGAACAATGCATCAGTTCTTGCACAGGTTATCAGATGCAGACTGTCCCTGGCTGTGCATTGAAGGACATTCCAACACAATCATGCAGACCCTCACCTCTACGACGACTTTCAATTCTTGCTAGAATCAAGGCATGTGTGCGCGCATACAGCATCGCGCAACGCGTCTACACATCGAGCAGAAACACGTTTCTCAATTGACAAGAGAAGAACGACAATGGACAACACAAGACGTAGAACCAGTGAAGCAAGTGCATGAGCTGCACAGGGGCGCTCAGGTCAAAATGTACCTACATTATCGCTTAGTCTGAGCACAATCACAGCCTGGCACACAGAGCCCCAGCCACTTCTAGGAAGCGACACCCAAGATGACAAAGATACCTTGGCCCTGCCACATGGGTACAAGGGCAATGCAATATGTTCAACAGCATTTAATTAATTAATGGATTCCGTGTGTTTTCCAGTATGCTTCGAAAGCACAATTGTTACTCAGGCGCACACCTGGCAATCTGCTCCAGCAGACAGCCCATGTTGGCGTGGTAGTATGTGCTGGAGTGGAAGAGCTGCCGGACATGGTGAGGAATCTGCGGGCTGGGGACCAAAATACGACAGTGGGCAAGCGCCTCTTTGTTCCATTCAATGAATGTGTTGATCATGTCCAAATTCAGAGCACCAGCTTCATCATTGGCTTCCTGCAAGTGTCCAAATTCCATCCATGTTGAGCCAGAAGTCATGACAACAAAAAAGAATGCGTATACTTTGCAGTCAGTATTGCAATCCAGAAGCGTCGTGGACAATATCAGCTGCACCCTTGTGCTCTTGGCTGCCTTCGTTTGTCAGAGAGGTCTCCGATAAGGCAGGTGGCCAGACGCATGCCTTAGCTGATGTGGAAAACTGTTGTCCATGCCCTTGCGGACGCCATGGCCAGCCTTTTCCAATAGGACATGTGTAAACAAAGGACCCATACATGCCATTTTTGCAGTGGACTTGCTTACCTGCCTTTCATACATCCCTGCCATCCATTTTAGCTCTATCTCTGGGTACTCTCCAAGGTAGTCCGCAAATAGACTGTCCGCCAGGTCCACCAAATCCAACTGTTGTTTCGTGCTGCGCTCTAGGTTGACTGCCAGAGTGTGAGTCTTCTCATAGACATCTGCAACCAATCTACAATTGCAATGCTTGCAGTTCAAAAAACTGGCGACAGATTACAAATAAGGTCGAATGCCTGACACCACACAATATATTGTCCTGGAAATAACAATCGTCACGATCAACACTGTGCTATGCTCTTTGATGCAGCGATATTAATGACTACTGAGGTATAAATCAATAAACAAAGAATCATTGTTAGCTACTGAATATGATGAGACAGATGGCTTGACCATAGTGTTGACTTACTGCATGCCACAAGTCAGGGAATGTCATGGGTGATTACATCGTGTCCTGTCATGACTCTTCTTTCTTGTTTTGTGCATGGGAATAAAAATGCAACAACAAATTCTACAGCAAAGCGCATGTTACTGTCCATGATGTGTCAGACCATTTCCTCCACAATGGCAACTTTCTTCTGGTGGGATATGGGGCCAGGTAACCCTCTAACAGAACAACCATTAAGATGATTGCAGGAGCAAAAGGAACGCATGTCCAATGAGACAACTGGGAAAATACAATGGGGGCACAGTGGTGTTGTGCTCCGCATCATGTAGCTCAGTAACTACAACAGCCACCCCGCAACCAGTGCAACCCATTCTGGACTCCCACAATCGTGAATGGCATTTCACCACCCAACTATGGCAACTCTTTCGTCTCAGCCAATGGTAGCGCTCTGACAAATAAAGAGCGGACTGCCAAGGAACAAGCTCTCCATGTGTGCTGGTTTGCTGTTGCAATGTGGAGACCGCACCTTAGGTAGCTCCTCAATTCAGCAGGGTCACAGTCTGCCACAGGGGCCAAGAGGATTCGATCGAGAGCAGATCGTGCCTGCACAATATGCTCATCATCAGTTGCAGCAGAATAAACAAACCCACTCAATAGTCCTGTGGATTCACCGCAGCTGCCAATGTTTGCAAAGGATGTCTCTCGTTTGCAGGTCTCCCTTTCCCAAAGTACGATCACAGTCGCTTCCTAACATGTAGCTGCCGATGAGAAGCACCAACTACTACACATTGCATTCGAACTTGTGTGCCACACGACATGATAGCACACTCTGTGCATTGCATGCATCTATGTTGACTGCCTTACGATGGCTAAAACCCTACCTTGCACCAATGAACAGACACGGCCACAAGCGTTCGCTTTCAGAGTGCTCTTGTCCCCTCAAAATAATACATCTCATCTACACACCACAATATTACTGTGCATGTAAGTATGACCTGATGACAGGCAATTCCAGCCACACTGTTTGTCCCAGAAAGCACCATTACACAGCATCCTGGTGTGCGCCCCGGCAACTGTACCTGCTGCTCCATCACCCGTATCAAGAACATCTTCATCACCATGCCAGGGTTTGGAAACACAACGTCAATGACCTGGGCCTCCTGTTTAGCCACTGTCAGGATGTCTCGATACATGGCCTGCAGGTCGTTCATGGCAGCAGCACTCGACTGGAAGGGAGTTGACTCGCCAAATCTCAGCTCCTTGGGGTTCATGAACATGTCACGGGAAGAAATGTACCTCTGCAAAGCCCAGGACAAGCGCAGCCATTCAGCAGGTTGAGCACAAGAGCCAATTACATGTCATGTGAGAAGGGGTCTGTCACCACTGCCCGTGGTTGCAAACATGAGCTGCACATGGAACTGTTCTGCTTGCTGAGGATCACAGAGAAGAAAGCAGAGCCAGTCTGACCAATGCCATTTTCACCCAAACTGGCCCGATTTTGATGTGCAGGGCCATCAGCTGTGCATATGATCGATGCCGTACAGGCAAGAAGATGGTCTCAGGACTATTCAGTCAGTCCAAAGCATGGCCTGGCTTGAATTCAACCTCTGGAACTGCGATTGTGCCCAACACAAGCGCCTAAGCAATGACTTGGTGTGCACACCAATAACACATGCACTACACAGACCGGCATATTCTGTGGCAATGTTGCACTCCCTGAATACCCACACAGTCAGCACACACATCTCTTCTTCAAAACAGGAACAACTGTATCCAACTCAGATTTTTGCTTCACATAGCTGATTGGCCTTTCATGGTACATTCTGCAGCAACTGGAAACTCTGGATTCAAACAGGAACAAAACGTCCCCCAGACCCATTGCTCATGTTCCTGGCAGTTGCTCGATGCAACTTTGACATCCAGCTACAGAACAGAATGCAACCAATGACTTGCCCACACGCACATTCAGTCATGCTCACATCTTTGTAGGCGACTGGGACGTGTTGGGGGAATGGTGCAATAAGCTAATTTCCATCATTTTAATGAATTCACAGCGATCCCAGCAGTGCTTTTGTGCTAGCTGCAGTGGTCCGCAATGATACAGCATCTGTATCCAATGTGGCAGGTGCCAAGCAGCCATTTCCCTCCAAATAGGCAAGCGTAACCACAGCACAACAACATCACAATTCCTATGCCATCTGCCCTACCTCCCAACCTGTGCAAGAGCGGCCTCCCGATGAAGTTCTGCCATGATGAAGGCGCACTTGGCCATCTCAATCTGGTTGCAGAATTCAGCGGCCTCATCGAAGTTGTGCACCACACGGGCTTCCAGCTGGTTGCAGTACGACTCCAGTCTGGACACAGCATTGTCCAGGGTTCCCAGCCCAGAATCTTCCTTGTCGGTCACCCCCGCATGTTGTTTGGCTGTTCGGAGGTCTGAAGTCAAGGACAGTAGCTGCTGAGCTGTGGCCTGCAAAGGAACCAGCAGCGATCGTCATTCTTGCTGCGAATTATCAGATCAAGACTCTGCACAAATCTTAATGGTTTCATGGACGTCCAGCAATGGTGTTACAGTTTCGGCGATATGGTAGTCCTTTTACTGAAAATAATGCGCCATGTTGTAGTCAGCATACCAGAACTCTCAACCCAGCCCAACAAAGAGCTTCAACAAAGAGGTTGCAAGCTTGCAGTTTCGGCAAAGAGGTCACAATGCTGAAATGCAGGCTGCATAATGCCTCCATTTACACTGGCAATTCTCTGATGCATCCACAATCCGGATGTACGGCCCATGACAAGGGCCAGCACAAGGGCTGCAATGATTGTGAATGTGTCCTGGGGTTCATTGAGTATCCGAATCTGTCAAAAGGGGCAATGCTGCCTGTCCCTCAGGTGGTAAGATGATGGGCTTGCACAAACACTGCTTGCTTACCACCACAAATAGGCAAATGGTTTACAGAGTTTTGAAGACAGGGTAGTTCATGTGTGAACATCAACATTTGAACCCAGTGTCCACAGCTTGAAACTCCTCCCCCATGTAGCACATGAATCCCCATACCCTCTAGTAATATGCCTCCTTGCATTGCTGCACAGTTGCTAACATTGGCAACTCCCCTCCTTGAAAATACAGGAGAAATTGTTGTGTTAGGTCCAGGAATGGAGGCTGCACTATTGCCCAACCCTTTTGTTCTAGGTTAAGGATGCACCAGGTTTCTCATGAACAAGGAACAGGATTTCCTGCATGTGGTGCTGAACGGCCCCTCTTCGCAGATACAGCCACGCATTCTTTGCATTGCCCTGACGCCAGTTGGACGTACAATACACAAGTGGGGGAGCATGCACCCCAAACTTGGCTCAAGTACTGCAGAGCAATTACCAGCCTGTCATGCCCCATCGAGATCCTTGCCAGATGGATGACCAGGCAGCTGACTCAGGACACAAAGCAGAGGGAGACTGCAAACAGAACTTGCAACTTGTCACGTGCATGAAGTAGACAGCGGTGAGGATAAAATTATACAATGAAAGAAAACTTGACACAGAAAGAATGGGTAGGTCCTTGGCATCCCCAAGATGAGTGATAACTGTCCTGGTAGCGCCCAGCACAGCATGTGGGAATGCGGGCCTCATCCCATGCTTACAGCGGCTTCTGGCATCCGGGCTTCATCGGTGAACAGTGCTGGGAGGCTGCTCAAATCGCTCCCAGCAGGGAGGTTGCTGAAGGCATTCAGGTGCTCAATTAGCTGCAGTGCATGACGGGCCTGGCTCTGGCGTTCATGTGACCTCTGTCATGCACCACAGCAAGTCTTAGCCCTTTGAATTTGAGGCCTCCACTTGTCTGTGGTCAGCAGCAGAGATAGACGGTAGCCAATGAGCAACATAATAAGCACAGCATACAACATACTGACTGAGTCCACTACGCAGTGCCTTGTCCTATTTGCTCGACTTCCTTTTGGTTGCCATAAATAGAGACAAACACTTTTCGAAGCTGCACATGAGGCCTTCTGCTTCACAGTACTGCCATGACCTTGATTGTGCATTAGCCAGCTAAGAAACCCCGAATAAACGACGTGCACTGCAGTGTGAGCATGGTGGGCACAGTCCATTCAGTCAACAAGTGCACAGAAAGAAGTTGTACTCAATTGAGCACAAGCCCTTGGAATCAGACATGTGAGGTCACTTGATTCCATGCACCTGCGGTTGAGACTGCTGTGTCCCTATTGTGCACTCAGATGGAATAGGGAGGTGTGCGACATTCTAGGTCAAATCACTGTGGATGCATGCATGTTGCACAATGCCAGAAAGGGCCAGAGCCCTGTCTTGACCTCAACAAATGATGTCACCAAAAAGCTGATTTCCACCAGCAGTTTGGTCCTTGACTTGGTGCCCACACAGACATATATTACCCTCCAAACTGGCAACCACTACGAGACATCTTCTGGAGGAGGCCAGGGGGGATTGGGGAGGGGCACCTTTAACCTCTCTCCTATCGTTGCTGTAGTTCGGCCGAAATTGGCAACCTTCCTATCCAGGTCGTGAAAGCCATCCCTCAGCTTATCCAGCTCCTCTTCAACAACACCCAAGACACCCTTGTAACACACCAGAGTCAACAATCAGACAAGCGGTCAACCCTGAACCATAATGGGCAAAAGGCTGTACCTCAGGATGCATGTCCGTTCTCATTCTGCTTGTTTGCCATGATTTAAGGGTGTGTGCATGGTTGGGTGAAGGGGTGGGTGGGTGGGTGGGAGGCTAGAAAACTATATGCTGGAGCATGGGGGATTGCCACCTGGGCGGCAGCTGAGAACTGCTGTTGAGAGCATCGACAGCTCTGGAGGTTGTGCCATGATTCCCATTTGCAGTGCCCATTAATGCACATTACACTGATTGGAAGAACATTTTGAGCACCCTTCTGCTTGCACAGAATAAACAGGTAAAATTTCTGGCAACTCAACAATTATGGTGTCTGTATGTTCCCCAGTCAATAATCAGGTGAATGTGTCTGTGTAACACAATGGGTCCATTTTTCTGTGTAGAACAGTCATTTTTCTCAATTCTCCAGTAAAAATATGTGCTGCATAGGGTTGCAGTGTGCAAATGGCTTGGTAATATCTTCGAAAGACTTCTTGACATCTGATTGTGGCACTGCACTGTCCAACATCTTATCAAGTCGGACCAACTGTGTGTCAAATCACCAGCTGCCTCCAGGAGACAAGCAAGGAAACACTAGCAGTCCATCCACGCAGTGTTAGTTCCTTGGCTCACCTTCACTTCTTGTTGTTCGCTCTCAAGCTTCTGCTGCGACTCCTGAACTTGTGACAGGACGTCATCATGCAGTGTGCGCACCCTGGACCCATACCTGGGAGTACAATGTTGAACATAAGGACATAGAAACAAGAAAGCTCACTCTAACTTCGAAATGACCAGGTAACCTGCTATTATGTAATTGGTGATGTAAGCAAGTGCTGGTAGTTCAACAACAAAGTCTCAGGCACAAACAAGGCACATGTTTCAATATTGCCAAAGTTATGCAGGAGCAGGTCACATCGACTGAAGCAACCACCTCAAGGTTAGCCATGAAGGCTGTGAACATTAAAAAATTAAACAACTTTAACAAAAGCCAAACCAGCCAAGGGGGTGCCAGTTCCAGGTCATCACACCCAAAATTGCGTGACGATTCGTGTGGCGTCGGGAGCAACAACGCCGCTTACCCGACTTGCCCCACAGGGAAATAACTTAGCCCGTGGAGCCGACAGCACTGTTAGGGTTATCAAAGACCATTAAAAACTTTCGTTTCACTCGCTGCCAGGCTCAACGCCAAATCCTTGCGACCCGCAGGTCTCCCACCAGCACGCTTCGAAACAGAACAGGAGCTTCATTTCGAAACCACGGCCAAAGGAAAGCTCGCGGCAGGGCCCACCAATCGCCTCCACCGAGTATGACTCCCGATGAGAGAGGGACCGACGTCCGCCCAATGCAATCCATTCGCTGAAATTCACATCCGCAAGCGTGTTCAAATCCACAGCGGCCCCAATCGCGTCACGCGCCCATAGCCTGACAACGACCCACACGCCGCAAGAACAACGTTTTTTCGCGCTTCCGAAGCCGGCAGTCGGTGCAGACTTCCCTCAACCCCTGCACACGCCCCCGGCCCCGCGCCCCTCTTGTTGCACCAGACACTGTGCATCATCTTCCCGCAGTATGCAAAAGATTCTCACACACACTTGCCTAGGAGGGACTGCTCTTTTTCTGACCTGTTTACCTTCCTCTTTGCAACAAACCTCACCCATGCAACTCCGCCCCGGCCGCGCACCTCTCAATGTGAGCCAAGAGCCCCGCCACCCTTTGCCGCGCCTCGCTGGCCTTCATGGCGCCGCCCGGCGACCGCAGGCGGCCCGACGAGCCGCTGCCGAGGTCCGAATCGCTCAGGAAGTCGCGGCACAGGCGGCCGATGAACTCATCCAGGTCGAAGCCTGCGCCGAAGCTGTCCAGGGTAAAGACGTCCGCGCGGCGAGCGGCCCCGAACGACGACATGGATGTCGAGGCGCAGGGAAGGGACCATGCTCGAGGCGGGGAGGGGCTTGCTACGCGATCCGCTTGACGGGGCGCGCCTCAGGGTGCCCACGTCAGTGCGGCCATGGAGACGCGCGCCGGCAGGGCAAGGTTGGCTGGGGGAGGCTGGGCTGCCACACCCCCGTTTGTGCCTGGCAGGGTTGCGCTCATTTTCCTTCGTCGCATTTTTGCTTGCGTAATGAGAAGGCTTGTGCTCAATTTCCTTGGTCAGTTTCTGCTTGCGCCAAGTTGCCATTTGGCGTCCGAAGCTTCAGGTGGACACAGCCTATGGACACTGCCTTGCAGGGCCAAAACAGGGAGCTGAGGGCTAAATCCCTGCCAGGTGATGTAAAATGTCGTGAACAAAAGTTGATGCACCCAAAATGTTGAAGCTTAAAAGGCCACCAAAACGACCAGAACTCGGGCATTCTGTCGCGGAGAACAAACGTCGAAAACGGACTGTTTTGGAATGTGGAATTTGCCAACACGTGACGCTGGTCTGCATTCCGAGGGCAGTATTTGTCCAGCGCTCTTCTGCTCTGGGAACACCCCCTGAAATGTGGATGGCCAGCTTGTGACGCCATGCCGACGCCGTCGAGCATACCCCCAGGAGCAGAATGGTAAAACAGTGTGGTTGTAAATGTATCATCGTTTATAGTTGCGCCATGACAAACCGCGCTTGTGAGGTGCGACCTTGAGGACCACATTTCCTGCACCCATATGGTATGGTACCTGGGGCCGCGCTCGTTCCTCTGCCCTGTTTGAATGCTTTGTTTCCCTTTTCCAATCTGGAGCCAAGTGAGGGTGAACAGCAGCAGATGTCCGCTACCTACTTTACTCTCCTTTTTCACACTGTCTCGAAGGAGTTTGTTGCAGCCCTTACAAATATAGTGCCTAAAAGCGGTGGCAATGCATACCGATTGTCTTGTGAAGCGGAAGCTGTATCCTTGGCGATGTTGTTGCGCTTGTAAGCATCCGTTAGTTGATTAAATTCGACAACAAGCTCCCCAGTCCCCTCCCCACTACCACCTGCCTCACCAATCAATCAGGAAATCAGCACTTCCGCTCGCACAACCTATCATATCAATCTTTGCGTCCTGTCATATCACAATACGTGGTGGGATGGGAGCAAGGAGGGACACACGCCTTCCATCACATCGCCCACGGGTCTCCCAGGCAATCGCTAGTGGCCGCGGTCAGCGGGCGACACCAGTCGATAACACGCCTCGAGGGCACACACCACAGTGGATGCGGAGATGCAAAAAAAACGACTGGAGGGGATTGAGCAAAATTTTCTGACAAGACAGGAGCAATGTGTGCCTTGTCTTGACTTTTGTAGATTTTTTGGAAACTAAGCAACGCCTGTGCGTCACAGGTCCGGACTCCTGCTTGCTTGGAGTCAACTGTTGTTATGTGGGTCAAAATCAGTCTGCTGTCAGTTCTACATAGCCATGAGTGGTGAAGCACACACATTGCGCTAAGAACGGGAGCATACGTGGGAATACACGAATATGGTATTTTATTCCACATTACCGTTGGCCTCATGGAACTCCGCTACTTAACCATGGCTTTCCGAAGTACCAATCACATTCCCTAAAGCAAAGCGCTAAAAATTCAGTCTGAACCTGATAGTGTGCAGGTCAATACAAATCAGCTCATTGTTTGCCCCTACTCCATTCATGTCGCCATCTGGTCAACCAGGAATGCCAGAACTTCCATCTGGAGAGTAACAGACCAAGGCTCATATCAATAGCCCTCAAACAATCGCATTATTGCCCACTGCTCACAGCATCCAGAGGGACGCAACGTGGGCTCCTCTGGCCCAGTGAACTGGTTCCCTCCTTGGCTTAGTTGTGATACTGTGGGGTTCCCAACAATCTGAACAGCGTGCTCCTCCAACCAGCATGTGCCCAATAGTACAGCAACAAGCCAACAGGGCACGCCCCAGGAAGCAGCCCCAGGTGAATGGCCCTAACGTCGACGATCTTGACAATGTAGCACGTGCAAGCGCTGTGGGCCTATAGGAAACACGACACCTATACCAGTCTTCATTCAGGTTGACGTTCCTTCTACTGAACTCTTCGAAGCTTCGCCTTCCCTGTCAACATGGCCATTGCTATTTTCTGAGTGCCGCCTGGCAGCCTCAAAACGCCCGGCTGAAAGTGAGGCACCTGTTTGTGTGTTAGCTGGCTCTTGCGCCACCTCATCACCCAAGTGAAACAGCTGTTCGCGGAGGACGCCGTGCAGCTGGTCGAACAACTGGGTCTTCACGTCCTGGAAGGCACGCTCCAGTCTGTCCAGCTCCTCTGTAGCATTCTGGGGCAACACACTGCTAATAACGATGTGCTCCCCCATGTCCACAGTGACACAATACGAAGAAGCACTGTTCGCTCGCAGTTTGTGGCAGCAATTATTCGTAAGCCACCACAAAGCATGGCCTTTCCACCTGCAAGCTGACAACTGCTATCGAGAGCTCCAGCCATTCGATCAGCTCACCTGGTTGTACATGAACAGGCCATAATAAAGGTCAAACGAATCATTGGTCGTGTTATTGACGAGGTTGACGAGCGACTGGTACCCCTTTGTGTCCAGATTAGTAGACTCCAGGTCCATGGCCCCCAACACACGGCCAACGGTGTGGGTTATGAATTGTGTGCTTGCTGCCTTCTTGTCGTGCTCTTCGCACGTCATCTCTATCATGTTGCATCCCTCCACCTCGAAAATCTGCAAGCACGAATCGACGCCTCAGCAAAGGTCACCAAGACTTGGAGCATGGGAACTACCATGGTGCTGTTCAAAGTGTGTCCCAAGAAGCTGGCATGCAGCTTAGTAATCACAATCTATGAATTTCAATACCTTCAGGTAAGTTTAGTGGCAAGGGCAGTCTGGTCGAAAGAACTGGAAAAGCGGCATGGATGCTCCATGCACAGTTTTACCACAAAGCCAACACCCATGGGGGTGACCTGCTGTGGGCGCTTTGCAATTACCAGCTTCACACAAGGATACAGCACAGCCAGCCAGATAGCCAGGATATAGCAGCCAGCCAGAGCCATCGGACCTGTCGTACATTCCAACACAACACGAAGTAACATGAAGTCCTCCTGCCCATTCCCCACTTTTGCAAGTGAAACATTGCCCATCAAGGCTGCCAATGCCACAGTCAGACTGACCCTGCAGTATGCAGTTACAACATATGGTGCAACATCACTTGGCACAACCAAGGGTGGCATTTTACATTTTGGCAAATGCCAGCAAAGCGGGTTTCAGCAACGCACTGCCGCAACCCAAGTCTCACAGCACCTTGAGAAATTCTTGCACCCTCTGCTGTCTTTCGGGGCTGTCTCCGATACGAACTCTTTCGAACATGAAGTTCAGGCCCTCCCACGTGCCCTGGCCACTGTCAGGGCCGAACATCGGGTGGGTGCACAGGAGGTCCAGTTCCGGGGGGAGGGTCCTAAGAAACAGTTGCTTTGGGAACACCTGTGACGAAAGCCAGACACAACACAGATAGCAACACGCAGACAGCACTTCTTATATATCCCATGTCACTCCTTTGCCGACTGCACAAGCTTGGGTAATGCCCGGTGATATTGGTCTTTGATAAGATCTAGCACACTGCACATCAGTTCTCTTTGCTAAATCGCCATGCCAAGCCCCACTGTGCTGAACTTCTGCAAGCACTGCTGAAAGCATCACCTGGTTACTCTGCAGAGGTTACATGACCATGCACTTGCAGCCCATTATGCTCGGTGCCCATCGCAAGTATTCGACAATCCAAGCAACAAAACACAAAAAGATGATTAACAATAGCTCTCAGAATTGTCGACCAACATTTCTTGCAATATTTTACTGAATCATCAGCGATTTAATGCTTCTGCCTTTTGGGTTAAGGGCTTTGCTGCAGTCATGCAGGGCAGCGCAGTATCCAACAAATGGATGCAGCAAAGGAATCACATGTACAGCCCATGATGCCTGTTTGGCAGCTTCATACCTTCACAGAAAGGACGTCCACAACCAGTGTGCTCCTCTTCAACCTTTGGAATGGCAGGGACAAGAGCACAGACTCGAGGGATATAATAGATGTTGACACCACGACAACATCTGGATGGCATTCACAGAAGTCGTCCGCATCTGTGAAGAACTGGATGCCAAGCTTTGCAGCCTCGTCAAAATATGGAGTCCGTGAAATCGCCAAGACCTAAATCAGCAGCAAGGCAACCTTGCATTTAGTCCAATGCCAGGGACCAGTCATTACAATTCTGACATGTGTCAAGCCAGCAGGCAAAGGACAGCCCCCCTTCAAGAATCTTTTCTTAGGTCGGTTCAGCAGCAAGATAACAACGAATCTGCTCAACATTGCTGGCAGTGACTAGCTTGGCACCGTGTGCCAGTGGTGTGGCAAACGCCCCTACCTGGTGCCCATGCTGTACAAGCCTTTTTGCCAAGAACTGGCCAAACTTTCCAAACCCGACGATTCCTATCTTCAGCTTCCTTTGTTGGGACAGCTGCTCCTGCATCCTACTTTCGTAATCGAATGGAAGTGCAGCATCAAGTGCAAACACCTCAAGACCTGGCTGAACAACAGACACCATTGCTGTGAATATCAATGCACTGGTCTGCAACTATCACATTAGAACGATCGAGTTTTCCAACAACCTTTTAATACCTTGCGGAGGAGAATTATGGCCTGCATTTCTGTGGTATGTCACATGGGTATGAATGCACATTTGCCCAGGCTTCACAGTTTTGGTTACATGTCCAACATAGCCTCAACGTCCAACCGAGCCCACCACACCCGATATGAGTAATTGATACACTTTTAAGCCTAATAATCGAAATTGCGCCAATGCTGGATGCGTCTGCGTTTTTAGCACTGCGACAGGCGCTTGTGTGTCTACAGTGCAAAAGCGCACTTAGTCCATAAGTCTTCAAGAATCTCAATGTCGTGTCCAGCCCATATGTTCATACTTTGGGGCCCTTTCTTCTTATGACCATCTGTTTAAGCAGTTATTGGGTGTTTGCTTGTGCTTCAAGCTCCAAAATTTTCGCCATCCTGGATGAATTGCTCTTTGCAGTTTGGTCTCCGAACAACTGGCCCTCTGCATTGGGAGAGTGTGACAGAGTATGTACTGAGCACACAAAGAAATCAGAAGCAACAAAGACTTCATTGAATTCTTCATTCAAGCTTTGGTAGACCAAGTATTATGTTGGTCCCTGGATGTGCCTATGCAAGGTAGTATGGTTGTTGCCTGGGTCGATCATAGCTTTGAACAAGGTCTAAAGCTACTTTGCATGCATTCCCACACCACAAAAAACAGCTTCCTCTGGCTCCAGAGCTGTTTTAGGGTGTGGGGCATTGATGACAACACCGCATTATCGCTACAGCATCGCACAGCACCAACTGCAACTTAGCCAGCTTTCACTTCGCGAGCTCCCTCCCTTTACAAGGGAAAGGGTGGGGTATAGAGAGCAAACGCTCCAGCTCATGGGCTGGAGGTAGGAAAAACACTTCAGGTTCCAGCATCAAGGGACCACAACTGGCCGCAGTTCAACAAACGGTCCCTCCAACGGCTGTCGCACAAAGCAAAACAGCCCACTCCACCGCCTTGCTAGGGCGCAGGCGTCACAACGCGCACCGGGCCAGTGGCTCAATGCCTGCTCATCGGGCGCACTGCACAGCACATACAAGCAAGATTTCGTCGCCATGTCACCCAGCTCGGTGGCAACGTCCCCCGCGGAACCTTCCTCTATTCACGACCGCTCCCGTGTCACCCACCCGCTGCACCGCCCGGGTACCTTGAAGTTGTAGCGCCCCCGCGCCCCCTCCCCCCCCCCTCCCTCCCCAACTGTGCATGGATACTGCCCCGATCGGCTGGGGTCCCTGTTGAGATCCTCCATCTCTCACCGAGTCGTCCCCGCCCTTCCACCCTCAGCCGTGCCCTGTGCCGCAGACATCTGCGCCCCATGCCGCCCGCCACCAGCACTCTGCCAGACCATTGGCAAGGATGCGGGTGCAGGACGGCGGAGGGGCCGGGCCCCGCCTCCAGCGACCTCATGCTCCACCCGTTCCTCGAAAGTTGTTTGCGCTGCTGGCCAACTTCGGCAGGCTTTTGCCTTGTCCCTTGGGGCCCGCGCAGGGCATCGACGAACAGAAGAGTTTAGGACAAGGAGAATGGGACCACAGTGAACATGAAAGATGATGAATACCTGGGAATTGAGTTGGAAGATCCTCACCGGGGAACGTGATTATGCTGTGAACGCTGTGAACGCCACATTCAAGCCTGAGCCCTGGACCTCACAGCAGGTCGGTCATTGGAGGGTCTGAGCAGTTTCAAGTCATGGCAGTTGTCGGTCTTGTTGTTGCTGCAGAAATCAAGCACAGTTGCTTTTGGCACGGGAGAGGATCTCCACGTGTTCTGCGCCAGCGACCCAGTGGCCATACAGAGCAGGCCTCCAGGAAGCAGCCTGCCCACATGGTACCATATTCCGACCAGCTTGTCTTTGCCTGCTGTTGCACATGTGGCATCATTAGCGACATTCAAGGCCAGTTCTAAACGCCACAAGACAGTCATTACTGAATTTCGTCGATCTGTAGTGGGTTACTCAACTGCGATTGCACCTGGGAATCTGATGCATTGCACGGTGGATACGTTTCTGCTCATGGACCTGAATGCAGCGGCATGTTGAGCCTTGCCCAAAGTGAAAGCTTTATTTTCGTCGATAATCTCTCCTGAGATGTAGAAACCAATCCGATTGGCGTTGGGACGTCATTTATTTCTAATTAGGCCGAGCAAATTTGCTCCAAGTTTGGGTTGTATGCCTGTCGCTGATGCTGGGGCTTGATTCATTATTGATTACATCGTTGTTCCGACGTTGGCTCTGTTTTTCAACGGAAGGGGGCATTGAATAGCTGTGCTATGCTGTCCGGCAACTGTGGTGGAGCAACATGTGCAGCGGTTCTGGCAAAGATGGGCATGTTTGAAGGAAACCAACAACACAATTGGGCCATCTCCGATATTTCTCGCAATCCTGGAAATCCGTGGTCCAAGCCGCGTTCATTCATCGTTCACATTCATGCCTCCATTGGGGCACCTCTCTTACTTGCTCTTTCCCTACCCGCTGCACCGCACTGCAGGCATGTGACAGAACTGCACCTTCCACTGCACCTGTCCCTTACTGCCTCGTGCAATGTCAGTTCGCCGCCTCCAACTATCCTGCGCACACTGTGCGGTGCCCCTATGAGCTTTTTTGTTTCTTTCCCATTGAGGCTCAAGTTTTAGCAGTTCTGACTGTTCCGCCATGAGAGAAATCGTGAACACACTGGGAAGAAGCACTTCTAGGGACGAACAGAGCCCGCCAATGCCCCGTACATTCAAGGACAGTACCATGTCCTGTGACGGCCAGGCAACCGAGCAAACTTCAACCATTGACAAACTCAGCAATCACGCCCACACGCGAGGGACATTCTGACCAGTACACATTTGAGGGTAAGCGCCTTTCTGTACATATTCAAATTGTTGTGCGCCTGCCCATACTTTCACCAGCCACTTCCACCACTTTGTGCAGAGGACAGAAGTCTCAGACATTGTTTTCAGGCAGGGCCGCCCGTTGGCACGGTCATCGTTCTTCAGGCAATGCCGTTGGCACGATCTGCAACGGCTGCACTGGAGCGGAGGTACAACTTAAATGAGGGAAAAAGAATGGACGTGCTGCAAGGGTAGCACGTCGCGAGTTACGAAGGGAGCAAGTTCAAAGCCTCTGTCAACTGCGATCTGCCAGCCTTTAGAGCCTCTTCCAATTTCTCTGGCTGTCGGCCTCCAGCTTGAGCCAGGTTTGGGCGACCGCCCCCACCCCCTCCACAAATCTTGGCAATTCCTCCAACGAATTTGCCAGCCTGCAGTCCCCCAGAAACCACCTGACATGAAAAGGGCAGTTATGGGCCAGTTGGAAGACACGATCCAAAACAGGAACCTCAGAGAGCGAGCCCAGGATTGCAAGTCTCTGCAAGATACTGAGGTTCGTTTGTGACTGAGCAAATGATGAGATGGCTGCCTTTCCACAGCCAGTCGCAGGCTCGGTTTCAATAGTTTGTTCCAATAGCTTTGAAGCTCCCTCACAATGCTGTCAGGATTCCCGCCAGAGAACGAGTTCCATTCCACGATGGCATACGCTTCCAGTTGTGCACTGTTCACCTTCTGGCAGTTGCAATTTTTCGTGTGGACACACCCAAGAGCATACCAAGCAATTCCCAGTCGCATTTCACACAAGAGCAATAGTCACTGTGCAGGCATGGACCATGCCCACTATATGGAATCTCCATATATGGCATATATATGCCATATATGGCATCTCCCATTCGCCTATTTGGGTTGTATAGCAAATGAATTGTCAAAATAAGCTCCCCAACTTTCTAGCTGTGGTGTCACAACCCCAGACACGATATTTACCTGAATCTAACAAAGGGAGCTAGACTGGCGCGCAAAGTAGGGATGGTTCAATGTGTTCTCGAAATGCTCTGTGACATTGCTGATACCATATGAGCCTTGTGAGGTTGATACCTCATGTCAATGACTGCCATCTTCTCGATCCGCTGGATTCTTGCAGATGGGCCAGACAATAAAAATGGATACAGTGGCACAAACCTTCTGTGCCCTGCAACACTGGGATTCAAGTTGGTGGTACAACATGCTGTATGTTCAGTCAGTCAACACTGCCGATTCTGAGTAGACACATTTCTGCATGCATTCATCGTCAACAGGCATGTGGTGGAAGCCCAAGCAATTCTTGGTCAGATCCCAAACCAATTCCTTTGGCAGCACAGCTGCAGGAACATGGACAACGACTGCCTAACCAACGCCATTGCATCTGCTCCCACTCTTGACCTGCACCCGGACTTGAAGGGGCTTTGTGGCACCCACATTTTTAAAATCCAAGGATCTGGGTTACAGCACTCCCTTGGCCAATATTTGCGGGACTTCCAAGGCTCAGAGAAGACGCAGTTGTGCTCATGATCGTTCTGGTGACAGTCTGGTATGATACATTCCACTTGCCACAAGTGACCACATATGCCATTGGAAAGCATCTGTGGCCATCGACTTCTGAACAACTCACCGCGGGGCTGAATCCAGCGACCAGGCTGACGCGCCCAGCACCCGCAGACCCAAGCAGCACTGCAGCTGGGTCTCCCATTCCATCAAGCAGCTTCTGAGCTGCCTCCTGCATGGATTTGCCATCAACTCCATCCAGGTCAGCCACCAGGAGGCTAGCACCGCCATCGAGTGTAATGCTTTGGCCTGCCAGTGCCTACACACACAGATAGAGGCAACAACTTTGATAACCACGGCACTTCGTTGGAAAGCTGAAATTGTGTGGTTTCCTTCATGGAAACCTGAGATTCAATGGACTTTGTCACAAGATTTTGATAATTGCTGGTCAAGTTGCAAGGTTGGCAATCTGCCACACACATGGACGGCAAGCTCACAGGGCATGTGCATGTGCATAGTGCAGGAACAGGCACACAAGAATCTGAGCATGCAAATTACTTGTAGCCAAGATATGGGCCTCATAATTGCCAGATGATGACCTGTGAGTCAACAATTCTCGCAGCTGTGAATGACAAAAAAATTTGCAGAATGAGGGAATGGTAAGGGAGGGAGGAGGTAGTGTCAAATCAGTTGAGGATACCAAAAGCAGGGAATAAGCCACAAAAGCACAGAATTTTGCAAAGAACACTAATCATGCATGGGTGATGGCAGTAGCCACCATATGTACAGTGGCTCAATGTCACACATAACAGAAGCAAGATATGAGATCACATGCAAACACCAGTTGAGTTGAAGTCCTTCCAGAACCTCACTGCACATGACAAGGGACGCATCTATGGGTGCATGATCACGCTCATGAGCTTGTGAGTAAAGGTTGGTCCGCTGTGGTGGCACAGAGGTGAAGCTCAGTGCCACCATTGTCAATACCAGCATTGCCATCCACTGTGAATGGTGTCCTCCCTTGGTGTGTGCCAACAATTGGACACAGGCCCCGCTTCCATTCCCTCTTGCTTTCCCTCATCGCACAACACTACTGACTTGCAGCAAATAACTGTTGCAGCTGGCAATCAAGGGGACTCTCCACTCCTGTGTCAAGCTAACAACAGTCCACGTGGGTTCTTTTTGTAGAGCGATTTCAGCGCTTTGAAAGGACTCTATGCAGCGATCTGTTGGTACGCACCTCCACCTTGACCAGTGCCAACTCCTTTTGAAGGGCCTCAACTTCTTTCCTGCTTCCCATGAGATCTTGCTGCAGGGCAGTCACTCTTTCTGGTATCTTGTCAACCTCGACCTTCAGACTCCCCTTCAGGGTCCTCACAACCTTGTCGACATTGTTTAGATAGTCAATAACTGCAGGTCCAGCGACAGCCTCTATGCGCCGAATGCCAGACTGGATTGCAGATTCTGATACGATCTTGAAGCCCCCAATCTCTGATGTGTTTTTAACATGTGTCCCTGCACAATGTCACGTCAACCCGTTCTTAAATCCACATTCTCTGGCAATGAAGAAGAGCAACAAATGCACATTCACCACAACACATCTTGTGAGATGTTCAGCCAATTCTGCCAGCACATTTGAGACTTCACCTCACCTCCACAAAGTTCCATGGACACTCCAGGAACATCGACAACGCGGACAACGTCAGCATACTTTTCCCCAAACATTGCAGTCGCCCCAGCAGCCTTTGCCTCAGTGAGTGGCATGGTCATCGTCTCCAGGTTGTGTGCCTCTTGGATCCACAAATTCACCAGCCGCTCAACCTCGTCTAGGTTGCTCTCTGTCATGGCCCCTTGCGCATTGAAATCAAACCTAGCATCATCATGCACATAAGGACTCAACATGGAGCTTGGGATGGAGGTCGCCAGTTGACTTCACTTGGGCTCTGAACCAGCTCAGGGGTTGCAAAGGTGCATGTTTTGTATGTAATTCCACATATTGTAAAGTTGCATGACATCCCCCTTTGTGTGTGTGTGTGTGCCAAGTGCAGTATTTTGGCAAAGCTGACATACTTAAACCAAATCCCACAAATGCTTGCGTCACACACGTCCTTGGTCATCCCCACTGCAGTGATGGCTGCAACAGCACAAGCCTCAGGATGCATTTTCCGCACAGGGGCAGCAACCAGGGTCAGAGCAACGCTGGCAGTACAATTATCCTGATAAAGGAACTGAACAACCAGACGTATTGATGATCCGACTGCTATGTTATTAAGATCATTGATTGAATCATCGCTGTTGATTTGAAAATCAGCTGACAATCCTTGCTGCATGGACAAACCAGAGACTTGCCTGAGTCGCTCAAAGTCCACAAGCGACCCTTGCTGAGAGGTGTCCTCCCCAAGAACTTTCTTTAATGCAGCTTGCAGCAGGTGGGTTGCTGTGTGATGGCACTTGACCCTTTGCCGCTTCAACGAATCAACACTTGCAGACACCTCAACAATACCACAGCACTGTGTAAGCCCCCAAAGTACATCCCTTGCGATTGAACACAATGTCCAATGCAATCGTCAGCTTGTAGCCAAGATGGCAATCGCAACTTTATATCAGCTCATGTGTTCATATTGCAGAGCAATTTGACTGCAGAAGCAGATTCTATGCCAACAGGCATAGAATGTGCTCCCAAAATAATTCACAGAGCATTAGCAAATTGCAAAAAGTTGAGTGGCTGTGTTGGCCAAATTTTATCTACTTTCTGACAGAAACATACAGCACGTCCCCTCTCTGGTACACAAGTTATGGATTACTACAAAATGTAAACGCTTGAATGCTGATGGCACAAACACCGCACAGAGCACAGCCTCAACGAGCATCTAATGCCCACCACACCATGGTTACACCGTTGTCAATATTCCTATTCAGAAGCGACCTCATTGCACTGCCCAACACTTGGGACATAAGGATGCTTTCAGCCATTGCTGAACTGCAGCAACCCAAGTCAACAACCCAAATTTTCCCTCCCTTGTCCTGTGCACAGCCAAAACACAAAGGCAAGTGTGTGCAACGGCCTTCAGCACAACCCACCAGCAAAACTGTTTGCACTGAGGCAGTACTTTGCACAATATTGATACACACACGAGGCACTGGCACAGGCGTCAGTGAAAAGATACCTTGCTCCGCTGGCACTCAGTTACTGAGCAATAAACCAACCAATGTGGCTCACCGTCTGCCCAACTGCAATGCTGCCAGACTCCACTGCTCCTGTGTGCACATGCAGCTCACCTCCGCCTCCCTGCCTGACATCACTGACCCTGAAAATACCAACCCCAGATGTACCAACAGCCCTCAAGAATCCATGGTCCCCAATCTGACCACCAGACTCAGCATAAAACGGCGTCCGATCCAACACAAGTTCTACCTCAGCCCCTGAAACATCGCAGAACAGTGTGACGAATGTGCTTGAGATGTGATTCATCTACACAGAAGCACATGAAACAAGCCTTGCTGCAAGACAGAAGGCAAGAGAAATCCATTTCTTCCACCACTAGCAAACATCAAAGAATCAGGCACTGTATCAATCCAGAGCCCTGACTACTAACGACTGTAGCAAGTCCCTGCATTACCAGCTCGCACTGCACTGTGACAAGTGGAGCGTGTTTCCTCTGCATTGACAGTGATACACTGACAAGGTACTTGTCCATGTCCATGGCATGCTCAGCTAGTCCTGGGACAACAAAAACAGGGGTCGAATCTGTGACAACTGGGTTCTACAGTCTGCACTGCGCACTGGCATTTTCATGGCAATCAAAGTGTTCCAAATTCAGCAAAGACAACACCACCACAACATTTTTGCTGCTACTGCATGATAACCCAGCCACTTGCCTTCTCCTGCAGATTCTCTGGATTCGCCTTCCACCACAAGGGCTATAACTTTGCCCTCACCCTCCAATTGGCTGTACCCCAGAAACTCTGTGGATCCCATGGTACCCATTAGGGAATCGATGGTGGACTGGGCACCCATGTCCACCTGCCCGCGGGCTTGCTTGGACCTCTGTTTCTGAATCTCCATCTGGGCCGTAAACTCAGCAACATCGACCTTGAGGCATAGCAGACAAAAATAAGGGCATCAACAAGAAATTTGCAGCCACATAAACTCAAGATGACAATCCATAACAGAATTGCCATGGATTTGCACAGGACAGTTGAGGCAGACACTTTTCAGCACGGAACTGCAAGCACACCTGCATGCCTTCTGCCGCAGCAATTTCTTGAGTCAGCTCCAGGGGGAACCCGTACGTGTCAAATAGTACAAAGGCATCTTCACCGCTCATGATAACTTCTGAGCTAGACCCTGGCTGTCTGTATGCCTCTACAATGTCATGTAGTTTTTTCTGGCCTGCTGCAAGTGTGCGACTGAACTGCTCTTCCTCCTCTGCTATCACAGTGGTGATCCTCTGGGCACTCTTCCTGACCGCAGGGTCACAGCCGTCAGACAGGCTGATGGCAACATCTGCCAGTGCTGGTGTGAAAGCCCCTTTGATGCCTTGCAAGCGACCCTGCCAGGAAAAGGAGCCAGTGCTGAAGTTGATGCAGGTGGGTTGGTTCCAACCATGACTGCGTGTGCAGTGATTTCGACTGGGAGGACGAGGTACATGTCACTTCATCCAAGAAATGCGAAGTTATGCGACTTCCAAAACATAGCACATCCTCATTTGTCAACACAGGACGCCCACCAACTGCTGCCGAAACAAATGGCAATATTCCAATCTGCAAGAACAATTTATACCAAGCCAATTGGAATGCTGTGCTGACCTTCATGACGATCCTCCTGATCAACCTTCGGACAACATATCCCCTTCCAATGTTCGATGGCCGCACACCATCGGAGATGAGGTACACCACAGCCCTTGTGTGGTCCCCCATGACCCTGAGAGCCCGTTTTGTCATTTCATCGGCTGAGCTGTACTCCACATTAGCAAGCTTGGCAGCTTTTTGTATTATAGGGAAGATCAAGTCGGTCTCGTAGTTGCTGGGAGTGTCCTGAAGATATGTCAGGGGAAAATTTGGGCAGGAACCAATGGTGGCATGTCAGCCCGATTATTGAGCTAAATGGCAATGGCATTCCTCCCAATTACTGTTTAGCAACACCATATCAGCAGCTGTGCCGTATCTTGCACTGCTTGGAGCATCTACCAGGGGACATCTCAAGAACAGCTAAGCACCAAACGGCCATGTCCATTACAACAACAGCACAACTCCCAGGAATAAATGTGTTGTCTATCATCACCAACGCCATTAGATAACACAGCTCATGTCATCCCCATCCTGGAGGTCAATGCCATTTGCTGGGAAATTGGCAAGTGACAGAAGTCCATCAGATTGACAAAGGACACTTTTGCTGTGCATCTTCTGGCTGAGAAGCACTCCTGACATCTGAATTCTGAGCATGGATTGACAATTCGCCTCACTGTGCCTCCAGAGGCCAAACGTCACAGGGTCATCACATCGTCCCTCTTAGGCTCACCTGGAGTATCTGGGCGACCCTCTCCAGCCCCATTCCAGTGTCTATGTTCTTGGCACTCAGGGGCGTCAACTTCCCTTCAGCATCTCTGTCAAGCTCCATAAAAACCAGGTTGTAGAACTCAACAAAGCGGTCATCGTCCCCAAGGTCAGCACCAGCTGTGCCCTTCTCAGGGCAGTTGTCGTAGTACAGTTCAGAGCATGGGCCACAGGGCCCTGGGTCACAAAAATCGCATCGACCATGAGCATTGTGGCCCGGGCATTTGTTGCACATTGGAGGGCACATATCTTTCTTTTCCTTCTGTTTTTCAATGTTTTCACCTGTGTGCGTATTTCGTCTGTGTGTATTTTACAGAATACTAGATGCAACATCATTCCTTCACCTCGCTGAGTCTCTTGCAGCTTACTGATCCTCTTAAAACCATTCAGGGGTGTGAAGCCCACCTAAATGAAATAGACAGCTTCATTGCTGAGACAGTTGACAGCCTTGTAGTAAGTGCGGATACAGTACGTGAGTAAATTTATTTGCACTGAGTACACTAACAGCACAAAAAGGCACTAGTTCACACATACCACATCAAGCATATAGTACAAAAGTATCCTTACTCTATTTTACTTCAGTAATCACCTCACTTCTGCAAATCCATGAAAGTATCTCCATGTGTGAGCAGTTTTCACAGCTAAGCTGCAGCAATCTCATAACATTGATCAGCGTAGTTTGGAAAGAGAAGGGCTTGCAAACACTAGAACGATGACATCGTTGCTCTCACTGCAATAAAATGCACTGCACATCGGGGCTTCCATACAAAGGGGTTAACATTCATCGGGTCCTTTCACCATTTCCAGTCAAATGGATAAGCAGAGCAGTAGTGGCGTGGGGAAAAAGAAGAGAAGCACAAAATAACACACAACATGAAACACTGCTTGATACACATCAGCAACAAAGCAAGTGGCCCTTCTTCATATTGCACCCATGCAGTTCTACTGATCAGTGTAGGCTACATTCTGACCTTGCCTGCAGATAGTGCTGATCAGCTATTGCGATCGTGTCCAGCATTGCATGCAGCAATGGCTTGTGGCTGGGGCATCATGCCTTGACAGTGGTCCAGGCCACAGAAGGTAAACATCCCAGACAATGCTTTTGGAACGTGAAAACTTCAAGACCGCACCCTCTGGGACAGAAGAGAATTCTGGCTTGATTGTGCTCCATCAGCTATGGGGCAATCGACATCTAGAGACTCTATGAGCAGTCTGTAACAATACTGTGTAGGTGGAATCATTACCCTTCACAGTCAAACTTCATGAATGTACATCTTTGGCATATCGATGATATCCCTTGCATGCAAATCAATGCAAGGGACGATTGGTCAATATTGATCCAGGTGGTCACCATGGCAGGAGAATGGAATTGTCTTGCTGTCTTAACAAGTACAGCAGCACTTGAGGAATCTCATCACCTGTTGGCCCTGAAGCCCAGAAATTGTCATCTTCCCCACGCCTTTGTATCCTCTCTTCAGGGACGCCAATGTCATCTCTCCAAATGGCAAGGGCATCGTCATCACTTGTGTACACACTCACCCAAATCCTGCTCTTGGGTATCCTCAGCTCTTTCGTTGACAGCTCCCATGCCATGGCAATGGCCTTGCAGATGCACAATGGTGGTGAATTAATGACTGTATCCAAATTTTCAGCTTCGCGCAGAATAATGCACGCATGTATTTGCAATTGAACTTGGATCAGCAGACAGCATCAGCCTCTTCAAAGACCTCAAAATGACTGACGATAGAGCCCAACAATCCCCTTTTTGCAGCAACAGTGGAGTTCATAGCAGTCCCAAAAACTGTGAAAGCCCACAGGAATATGGATGACCGAGACTGAAGCAGTGCTTTGCGAAGATGCACGAACGACACCCTCAATGAAAACAGGATCAACACCAACCAATAATTTTGTTTGGTGCATGAGCACCAGAATCGGCATGGTTGTGATCGACAGGGAGACGACAACCTGAGCATACAGCAATTGTGATAATCCCAAAATTGGTATCCATGTTTCAGAGCTGTCTGGCAACAAACCACAACCACACTCGTTTGCACCTCTTTCTTGAAGTAGTCTCCAAAGCTGAAGTTCCCCAGCATTTCAAAGAATGTATGATGGCGAGATGTCACTCCAACATTCTCAATGTCGTTGGTCCGCACACATTTTTGAGTTGTGGTCACCCTTGAATACCGTTTAGGTGCCTGCAATGGTAGCAAGCATATTCCCAGCTCTCAACACAGCACAGTCAACCAAATTTCACAGCACTGCTAGAATGCAAAAAGGGAAGGAAGGACAGTGGATGCTCACATCCCTCTGTGCCTCATCTGTTCCTAGTGGGTCTGCAGGAGTGGCTCCTTGAGTTTGGCAAGATTCAAATTTGACAAAATTACACACTGAACGATCCCTTTGCTTCTCAAGCCGGTTCCATGACAAGCACCTGGGTGCTAGCACTTACACAACTGAGATTTCCCTCAACTTCCTCTGTCTTGTGAATGAAACAATGTCATTTCACATCAACAAAACGCACCTTGGGGAACATCGACCATGGGCACATTTGGTTGCCCTCAAAGCCACATGCATCATGCAAACCTTCACAGGTCTCCACAAATCGACTGAATGCTCCGTAGTACACCCAATGTGCAGAGAGGACAATACGTCAACAATTTGCTCAGGCCTATGGGCACAAACGCTAAAACGATGGATGCTGGGATCAAACCAGGGGATGAAGCATAGGTGCAATCAGCAGTACCTACCCGTCCAAGAAACACTGGTTTGAACTGTAGCATCCCAGCGATCGTCAGGAGTACTGTGGGGTCATCAGGGACAAGGGATGAACTAGGCATGCGCTGGTGTGCCTTCCTTTCATAGAAATTCAGGAACCTCTCCCTGATCTCCGCTCCGCTCTACAGCATGCAGCACTGCAGGAATCAGTTGTGCACATACAACCACGAGCTAATTGCCATCTAGCAGGCACCAAGCTGATTCACACTGTCAAAGAAAGAAAAGATTGCTTTCCAATAAATGTTGCAGGAAATGGATGTGTTGGATATTGATTTGGACCAAAATGCCCCGAAACGTTTATTATCAAGGAAATACGGAAAATGGTTAAATTAGTAACCTGGTGTCACACAGGTGGGCATGGTGCAAGCCCAGAGGTGCAGTGAATAATATTGTCCAGGCACCCCATGCCAGCCTCCGAATGTGGGGACAAGTATCGGTCAGAAGCAAAACAACCACTGCATGTCCATAAGGAAAAAAGTTGCACTACAAGGATACTAGGTCCTTGACCTCACTTAGGTGCAGTGAACACAAGCAACAAGAGCCAGTTGGAGATGCATTGAATCTGTGTCTTGGCAGGTGGTACAAAAATACACACATGCAAGGACACCCGAAAATGAAACCTTCGCATGGCAGAGTAGAAATAGAGTAACTGATGGAGCATGCCAGGTCGTGCACGAGTGAGGGAGACTATCATACGTCATACTATGCATTATCGCTACTGTACCATCACGTTTGAACACACTGAGCCGCACAGATCCTCAGTTGCTTCAGGTTTTAATTCATACTCTCTTTAGTACAGAGAAACAAACGAGACAAACATCTTGGAAATAATGACAGCTATGCAGAAACATTAAATAGAGGTGAAAAATTTCAGTTGTAAGTGTCAGATCAGGACTTCTGCGACATGCACGAGTTAGTGAGCTTTGTGGGAAGTAACTGATGCGATTATCACGCATCCTGAGCTGTCGATGCCTCCTTGCAAAGGCTTCACAGTACAGCCTGAATGCCATGTATGGCTTTGTTTAAAATACTTTCTGTGGGCACTCACCAGTTTGGGTGGCGGCTGCTCAGAAACAGTCAGAGGACTTCCTGCTGCCACACAAGTGACGTCAATTGCCCTTTATGCATAATCGAAAATTGTTCGCGCAAATTGAACCTAAGATGAACCTCACAACGCGTTTCTTGAAGAGTGCTGGGGTGTGTGTAATCACACGCACACCACAATTTGTCACCAATTTTTGGTCACGTTGGTTGTCAAACAGCTGTGTCCATGAACTCAGCGATGTGTCACTGTCTCCTGAGACGCCTGCCGTCGATCGCATCTCAAGATTTTTTCTCACCAATTGCTGACTCTGATGGTGCGGCATTGGCGGCAAATGGCAGCCTGTGCTTTGCCCCTGTGGCAGCATTTTCTGAAGATATACCTGCCCCATTGAAGAACCCTGGCACAGGCACATATCGGTGGCCCCTCAGCACGCTCAGTGGTACCTATCTAAAGGCACAACGCTATCTAACCCCAGACTGTTGCCCAATCCCACCAGACATCCTGCACTTTGTCCATGTGGTCCACAGGGCGAATCAACAGGCCCACACTCGTTCGACCCTACATCACACGCTTCGCTAATCCAGCAAGCTGCGACAACTTCAGAACACCAATGCCACACAATGCAAGCACTGTGTGCCAAGCCGTCCCAAAGAATTCCTATTCCGCCATCCACAATTGATCGCCATCCCAATGGAATTGCCTTCCCTTTCATTCCCTTCCGCACGCACCTCGGCCTCGCTGCACTCGAAACTGCGCTGCGCCGACCTCCCTCGCGGCTCGAGCCCCGGCGGATGCCGGCTCTGGGCCCCGCCTCGCCCACGCGCTCACCAACCAGCCTGCTGCGGCCCCCTTCTGAGCCGAGGCGTGGCTCATCGCCCTCGCGGACACCAGTTCAAGGGCGGGCGGGCTGCCTTTGGGGACACCAAGCGCGCGCTATTGCCCTAAGGGAAGGCGCCGCTCCTGTGCCGACGGGGCTTACGGCAGTGTGGGCGCCACAGCCGGGATCATCGGGTCGTCATCGCCGTTTTGCCCCCTCCCAATGCACGGTGCACATTGTGCGCACGATGCTGCTGGCCTCCCTGTGGACGGCTGTGTTGGCAGTGGCGTTGGTCTTGAAACCCCGCCCGCTTGGTAACGTGACGTTTGGCCCATTTGTGCGGAGAAAACAATAAAATAAATAACGCTCTTTTAGTAAGACTTTTGCGGAGCAACGTAAAATTATTAAAAATTGGAGCTCTGAAAAACAAAATGCGGAGCAAAAAGCGTAACGGTAAAATTTTCCGATGTGGAAGGGTGTTACCTACGTTATTCATGCAGTTCTGGGGGGCCAAAACCGTCATGAGAGGGGGCGTGTCCTCCAATGGGCACTGCTGAAAGTCGATTCTGGGCGTTGTACCGCGTGTCTTGAAGCGCTTTTATGTACCGAACCCTCCTATATACTGACTCCGACCCATGCAGTCTCCTTCAATGAAGTTGCAGGTCTCATCAGTTGCTCAATTTATCTATATTTAGCGATAACGAGCAACTTCAACAGCACCCTCCCTTGGGCAAAAGGTGGTGCAACTCTGTGCCATGCTGTGACAGAATGACGCATAAAGTCTTCAAAGCGGGCTGAGAACACACAGCACTGCGCAGTAGTCCACAAGGTACTCGTGGCTGACCAATCGCTCACTTTTCGCAGCCGCATCACTGCGATGCGCAACTGTTCCACCGACGCCTTAGGTGGGCAGCATGTATTGCTGTTCCAGCGGGCACGGTTTTCCTGTTTGTGAGCTTTGTGAGGGGAGACGGGCGCGGGCTCTGTGGAGATGAAGACAGGCATGACACTGATGTGGACATGTGTTGCCAAATTACCGTGACAACACAGAATGGGAATACAAGAAACGAACTGCAGTCAAATACGAACTTGATCAGCATTGGCATTTGAGAGGGTTTATGACAGGGAAAGGAATTAAACCCTAAGGGCAAAGTCGGTGGTGCCGAATTTGCAAAATCAGCACTGCTGCCTAGGCAGAGCCAACATAGCTGGCAACTCTGCACAGAACAACCAGTGAACGTTTCGTGCGCGTAGATGGTTAGTCACATGCATTTGGAACAAGAATCCTGCACAACGCTGGCATCCCTTGAAATCCAGAAAATAAGAAATCGGAAGAAGGTCGGACTGCTTTGGTGAACATGCCTTGGTGAGAATATAACCACCACAAAAACACACAAGACCAAAGCACTCAAGGAGGCACTTGCATACATAGAATGCGCTACCCTCAAGGCTGCAAGCATTACATCCGAAAAGGAAACCATGTTCTCTGATCTAAATCGTCTCCCAAGGCCGTATATCCCCAAGTGCCACTGTGAGACCATCCAGTTCCTTCGAGAGCTTGATCACGCTGCCCAGGCGGGAGCTGGTATAAACACACAAACACACAGGACATCATTTCTAAGGCCCTTGCTTGCCACATGAGCAGAGATGGCTGTGCCAATATTTCTGGACCACAGTCTGGCTCGTATGGTGCACAGCCAGCCAGCAACAAGTGGGGTACGTGTGACTGATTTCCAGTACAATCTGGGTTATTCGGACAGGGGTATGTTCTCTAGTCTTTCACCTCGGGATGTACTCATTGTAGTGAATTGCACTGGCATAAGTTCCAAATACCGAACATCATCAAAACAAATGTGATGGAAATCTTTGCCATGATGATGGCATATTGTGTCCTGGAGTTGTGGAGGATGTTAGCTTGGTGAGGGAACAGTTGGATCACCCCAAACAACGATGCAATCTGGCAGATGCGTAAGTTATGGGAGAGAAGGCCTTCGTGCAGGCACCACACCACCAGGGCTCCGAAGCAAAATGTCAATGCTGAGAAAGCTTCTGGGCGCCCAATTTCCAGGTGCGTCCTCTCGAAGCCCACCCCCAAAAGAAGTACGATCTCCTGTTGCCAACAAGCCCCACGATCTCCCACAGCCGCGGGCCGCAGCGCACGCCTCCAGGCCCCCTTTTCAACACGCAGTCACGACTCCATTGGGCCCCATCACAATTCCTCACTCCCACCCCCGCCAGCCCGTGACTCACTTTTGGCCTGGGTTGAGGCTCAGGTCCTCCAGGTTGAGCTCCTCGTCGGCTGTCCGCTCCGGCAGCATCCGCAAGAAGTCCCGGGCCACGACCACGTGATAGTCCAGCGCCCCCCTGCCGCTGGGCGTCGGCGCGCACATGCCCTCGAACTCGCTGTGCTCCAGCAGGACTTCCGACAGCTTCTGCCCCTCCATCCCCTGGACCTCCTTCGACACGCCGTGCTTGTCCATCACGGTCACCCGCACCAGGTGGTCATACACGGCCGCAGCGGGGCCAGCGGACGCCGCTGCCGATGCGGAGAAGGCGGCGCCCAATGGGAAGGCCGCGGACCTGAGGCCGGGGAGTGCTCGAGCCAGCCCCCGCAAGGCCATGGCGGAGGGAGGGGGCGGGTCGCCTGGGCCTCGGTGCGCGCGACAACACCAATCGGGGGGGCCATGCGCCTTTTGTAGTGTGTGTTTGTGGTGCGTCCAGCTCTGGTGCAGTAGTTTGCAATGGTGCGGGTCGCCCAATACAGCGAAGTACATCACCCTTGGGGCGCCTGCGCCGTGGGTTTTTCAACCCTTCCGCATAGCAACGTAACGCTTGGCCTCTTTTGGGGAGAAAACAGTGAAATTGATAACGCTCTTTTATTAACATCTGCGGAGTAACGTAGAAACAACGAAAATAACGCTCCCAAAAACAAAATGCGGAGAAAAAGGCCCAACGCTGGGATTCTCCGATGTGGAAGGGGTTAAAAACCCACGGTACACCAGGTGGACGGGTGTGGGTGGGCGGCTTTGGGGGCAGCGCAGCGTTCCCTGCGAGCCAGAGATTTCGCCATGTCTGCGCCTCCGGCCCCCGCCGCGCACGACTGGCCTTGCCTGCAGAGCGCGCCCGTCCGCCGGGGAGTGCAAGCCCTGCCGCCGCGCGGGAAACACGGTGCGGCATCGCAATCGAATCGCCTGTTGGCCATCGGCCGTCCGCGGGCTTTGACAGGGCCAATCAACGCACTGGCTTTTGAGAATGTTGCGGGCGCCTGTGAGACAGCGCAGCAGCATGCCGCGCCCCAAGCTATACTGACGGTCTCGGCCGCCGTTTGCGGCTGTGGCCAACGTCTCAACTGATTATGCGCCGAGGGCGGCTGCATTTGTGGAATGAAGTTGGCCGAGTTTGCTGTTACTTGGCGTCGATCGGGTGTACAACGGGTTGAGTGCACATCTGTAAAGCGGTCGACCGAGTCCCTGCAGTCTGTGAGCAGACAAATGGGCCGAATGTACAGTTTGAGCGGGTGGCCTGATGGCCTGTAGCCTAATGTTCCAGCCCATGAGCTTAGATGGAGGTTCAACACAGGAAACGCAATAGTCCCTAGCCCCCTGCTTGTAAGCGTCCTACAGTTATGCTTAAAATTAGGAACATCCGCCCCTCGGTGGGGCGATTGTTGTATGATGTCTGTGTTTGGGGTTGCATTTCTGTTAGTCATTGTTCTATTCAAACCCAGGGTCGCTTCAGCGTGTGGCGAATCCAGTTGCCAGTATTGGAAATAGCGTTGCGAGATTGTCACAGTGGCGATCAGTCTTGAGTGGAGCAGCCACACACGTCCTTTGCTGTCAATCATGATCAGAGGTGCTCAAGCTTGGGCTTGTATGTTCTCCATTGCAGTTGCCAGGAATGCGCACGGCCTGAGAAGCAGACAGCAATGCTTGAGCAATAGCAGCACCAGAAACATGGTGAGCGCAAAGATTGACAGAGCCATGCCACATTGCTAAGTGGTGGCACTCCCAAATTGAGTATTCATGCACTCGATTTCTGTGCCATTCGCAAAGCATTCCTTGGGATATGTGCCACGTTGCTATCGCTAACAGTCCCATAGCAGTCGCTGTCGTTTTGTTGCGGCCACACACTGGATGTTTTTGCTGTTTGCAAGATGTGTGCTCTGGTTTGCTTTCCTGTACAAAGGAGGGCCCATTTTCAGTCGTGTCTCACTTTGGAGGTGGTCATGACACTGATCTTTTGGAAGAAGTGCCAGACGATTGAGTTCCAAGTCACTTTGAGCAAACAGTGCATGGCTCCAAGAGGATGCCCGAACTGTAAACCTAGTGTGTTAGCGAACACCAGAGGGTTGTCGTACCCAAAGTTGATGGATAGACACTGTAGAGTGTAGTGTGCGCCTGCCACTAGCTCTTCAAGTTCAACTCCATGGTTGCAATTTTCACCACTCCCTATGCTAGTTGCAGGTTTGCCATGTAGCGGCTGAAGCCTACGAAGCAGATGTGGGGCAAGCAGAGGCGAGTGAGCCTGTGGTTGCAGAGGAATCTGGCAATGAAACTGACACTCTGGCCAAGAAGCTGCGCATTAAATTGAAGGCGTACCAGGTGGACTTGATACAAGCTGCCGTCCAGATGATCATTGATGTTGCATCGGCGACTGGTGCCAAGGTGTCTGGACCTGTGCCCTTGCCAACTCGCAGGAAGCTCTACTGCGTGCTGAGGTCACCGCATGTGAACAAGGTGGGGCACTGTGCACCTGTACCTTATCCATACTCTGCTTGAGTGGTGGGGCTTTGTAGCTGGCAAGCGGTCGTCACAATCTTGCAGTTAGTCCACACATCAATGTCCAACACATCATTGAACAACTGAATTGCAGAGTGCCTGATATTACGCACCATGGCAGCAAGCGTAACTAAGAAGGTAACTAAGAAATAGGAAGGTCATGTGTTGGGTCCTCTTCTTATGGAAATGCTCTTGAGGTTTTCCCAAAATGCCCAGCATGATGTTGCAGTCCCCCGGTGCATCAAGCAAAGCGCTTGGGTGGGTGTTGTGATGGTGGCACAAGAGAACACCAGCTTACCCTGTAGTTGGGCACAAGCAGCAGCCAAATATTGCTGATGTTTGCTGTTCGTGTTGGTGGAGTCGATTTCTGCAGCTCATTGATTCTCCAGTTCTGATAGTTTTCCATTCTGAATGGGATGTGCGAATTTCGAGTTGAGCAAAGGCGCATTGTTGTCATCAATGCTATAGTGACAGCAGTCTATTGTGCACAAGTGCCCCAAGTGCCTTAGTCGTTGATTAGTGCCCCACTTCTGTGCTGTCCATCAGGATTCGCGTGAGCACTTTGAGATCAGGATCCATCAGCGCCTTATTGACATCAAGGACCTATCAGCCCAAACTCTCGATCGGCTGATGGAGCTGGACATCCCTGCAGGGGTAGACGCCAACGTTAAGCTCCTTTGAGGTCAACAGTACAGGGTGGGGTTGATGTGTCAAGAGGGAGTGAAATGCCACCTGCTTGCACTGACAGCAACTCAATATTCTATGTCTATATTTGCCTCGAGGTGCATGGAAGGCGGCAGACAACAGAAAGCTTTCTGAGTTGTGCCGTTTACCAGGATGGATGGGGTATTGTGGCGTTTGACTCAGACAATGTGGCCTTTCACAGTCATGCCTGGCCTGCAGAGCTCACCACGAGACTTGTTCAGGTACAAGTACGCTGTGGTGAATATACCGGAGGACTTGGCAGCGATGTGTGCTCATTGTCCTTTTAAATTCTGGTCGATTGTTTTTGACCCAAGTTGGCCAAGCACTGTGTTCTCGCATTAATCCAAGTGTATGGGAACTAGTGAAAAGAGACTTTAACTTCATCTCAAATCTGTTGCTTTTGTCATCACCGCACCATTTCCAACAACCAAGGGGTTTCAGTTGTCTGACTAGCTTGGATGCACAATCAGAAATTCTGAGTTGTAAACAGCTCCTGGTGTGCCTATGTCTGCACCACATGGCCCAGCCTTGTGCAGCTCATTTTGTATGCACCTGTGGGAGATAACATAACTATCTTTCTGCTTTCTTGGCAACTGCCCTTCATACAGTTCTCGTGCGCCGTGGTTGCTTTGGAAAGCTCTTAAATCAGACTGCTTTCTGCTTGTGGGCTGCATCCCCAGAATTGCAAACCATTGCTCCCAGATATTGGAGTCCCTGGACAGCTGAAGAATAACAACTCTGCATAGTCAAATGGTTGCGTTTGCCTCCTTTCCATCTCTGCACTTCTACGACCAGCGGATAGGCCATTCTGAACGAGTGTGCCTCAGGCGTGTGATCACATGCAATGCAGGCCCGCAGTCTCACAGCGCTGGGGCAAATTCACTGGTAGTGTGTGCGCGCCCGCCCCCACTGCCCACCCAGCGTGCACCGGTGCTATTTTCATTAACTTCATGACCGTGGCAGCCATTTCGCGCACGTAGTGCTCCCGCCCATTGCAATATTGTGCTTCGTCCAAACTACCCAACTTAGCGAATTTCGGCAAAGCAGCTGCCACGCACAATCGTCCGGTGACTCAGCGCTGATTCCTTGTCCATTATGCGACAATGCACTGCTTCTTCATCCATCCAGTGATTTTGGGAGCCGTTCGCAGATGACGCAGGTGTTGTTTCCATGGCATGGTGCGTCATCACGTGCCACTAGCCCTCAGTTCAGAGAGACACACACACACACAGGCAATTGCTCTTGGCACCAGTGCCAGGAGCAACTGGCTGTAGGTGTGCCTGAACTGAGGACTCGTGGCACATGATGGCGCACCATGCCGCATACACAGCGCGCGTGAGGTAACTCGTTGCTCCTCTGCGTCACGGCAGTACAGCGACAGCACTGCCCTGCAATGGCGCTTGTAGCACCTGGACGTTTTAGCAAGCAGACAAACACATCTTGGCTTCTGAGAATGGGCGCAAACCAGTGAACAGGTTTGCACCCGTCTGCGTGAATATGAGCCAAGGCGAATGCGAAATCTTTGGCCTGTCACCGCATGTGCACCCAACGGGCAAACATATCATTGAACCGTTTAATTATACATATCATGATGTTTAATGATGTTACATATCATTTCGCACACGCGCTCCCTCCTCAGTACCCGCCCCACGATTCAGCCAGTCTCGTGGCTCCTTCAACACGTCCAGAAGGCGGGCCTCGGGGGAACCCGCCTCCGGCCGGACGTCGTAGTCCCACGCCACCAGCGGCGGCGCAGACACCATCACGGACTCCATCCTGCCGCCCTGCAGCCCGAACCGCACTCCCCTGTCGTACAGCAAGTTGAACTCCACGTAGCGGCCCCGCCTGAGCAGTTGCCACCTCCTCTGCGGCTCGCCGAATTCCGTGCGCCTGCGTTCCTCCGCGATGGGCGCCCAAGAGTCCAGAATCCCGTCCCCTACAGCCCTCACGAAGCCCTCCACGTCGAACGCATCGCCGGGTTCCAAATCATCAAAGAAGATGCCGCCAATGCCGCGGCACTCCTGCCTCGCCGGCAGGTAGAAGTACCTGTCGCACCAGGCCTTGAACTCCGGGTAGAGGTTGGGCGCCGAGGCGTCGCAGATGGCCGCCCAGTGGGCGTGGAAGCGCCGGGCGTCGTCCTCAAATAGGTAGCAGGGGGTCAGGTCGCAGCCTCCGCCGTACCAGCAGGCGCCGCCCGCGCGGAACCTGCGGACGTCTGCTCGCAGCGTGGGCACCATGGGATGGCGCGGGTGGAACACTGCGAGCATTGAAAAAGAAGACGCCCTGAGCAATGCTTCCGATTTACAACATCACTGGCAGTAAATGTCAACGGCAAACAAAGAGTGAATACGCAGCCAGTCATAGTTGCAGTCAGCAGGGGCATTAGGGGTGGGGTTTTCCTTTGCATGTGAAATGGTGGTCGGGGATTCAGGGGCTGCTGGGCGGCTGGTGTGGTGTGTCCCAGGCAATCGCAGTCATTTGTCCACATGGCCACATTGGGGACGAATTTTAAACAGGCCTATCCGGTTAGCTTCCAACAGGCCTATTGTGCCACCAGCCCCGCTTGCATATGCATAGCAACTTCACAGAGTGTGGCGCACGCGGCAATGCTGGATAGCTACCAATTGGCCCCCGTGAAGACAGCGCTCAATCGCAGCACTGCTTCCCCTCATTAGACAACTTAGCGCCACGGCAGTGTTACACCGTGGCGCACAGCGACGATTTCGAAAGTTGGTCATTTTGGCAAAGGGACGGCACACCATGCAATGGCCATCCCCGTCCTGACAGGAACATTTCGTGACGTTCTTCTGCACACTGTGCAAGATCATGCGAAATCTCCGTGTGCATCCAGGACGAAGGGACAACGCACACCAGCACAGTGAAGGACCGACGGCTTCAGCCAATTCCGGCGTCCTTCCTCGCCCCGAATTGAAAGGAGCACACATTAACCGCCCACCCTCCTTCCCGCGCTTTTGAGCCTGTGCCGTACTCCGATCCATGCCGATGACAGACCAAACGCCAATTCCCATGGATCCCCGCAATCGGGATCACCACATCCTTGCGACACCGCGCTTGTGCTCATGCGCAGGTGTATGTGCCCGCTCGCGGCAAAGCACCCGAGAAACAGGCCAGCCGCAAGACATCCCCTCGGCGTGCCTCACCCAGAGACAGGGACTCCGCCGCGTACTCCTGCCCCCCGGCGGGGTCCACGCCAGGCCGCCCCCTGGAGCTCATCGCCGCCGCCCTCTCCGCCGTCAGCACGCCGCGCACCAACGACACATTCACGGCCCCCTTCTCGATCAGGTCGCCGCAACGCATCACACGCGTCACGCCGTAGCCTGCCCTCTCCCCCCTGCTCCACTCGTCCCTGCCAAACTTCGCATCGGCATGGCCGTCCAGGGCCTCGGCCCGCTCGACTATGGACGACTGCAGGGACAGGATGAAGTCCTCAAAGGTGTCGTCGGGGGTTCTGGGGGCCGAATGTGCGGGCAAGGGGGCTGGGCGTCGAAGGGAGAAAGGCGGGGAGTGGGTAGGGGGAGGGGGCTGGTGTCCGCGTGGAAGTGATGCCGCAGGCCGGGAGCTGCCTGCTTGTGGTCTGGGCATTGGGGGGGCGCGGGCGCCGGCTGCGAGCCGCTCAGCGCGCGGATCCATCGAACCGGGTAGGGAAGTGGTGGGTGGGTGGGGGGGGGGGGGGGCTCCTGCCCGGGGTTTTGAGATCGCTGGCGCGGAGAATTGGATCTGAATGGCGGCGTTGTGTGAGAAGGCTTGCGGGTGCAGCCCTTGCGTCTTCCTTCTTTGTTCCCGTAGATTTTGGATTGATCTTGGTGCATGTTTCCGACCGAAGTGCGGATCCGTCACGGGGGCTTCGCGCAGCTTCCAACATTTCGAGAGGCGGCAACGAGGCCTCAATGTTTTTTTGAATTTGGCTCCTCTGGTGCCATTTTCCTCGCTGCTGGCAACGTCATCGGGCGGGTGCGTCCATTCCGAAACGCAAGCCGACATGGACCATGCACAAACCGTGCAGAATCGAGTGGGTATTTTTGTGAAATGACGCCAAAATCTGGGATAACCGGGCGCATGATCAAGCGCGGGGCCGCGGGGCCCATCTTTTTGAGCAGGTCGTTCACCGGCCATTGGAGGAGATCATGCGCATCGAGCGGCTCCGATGACACATAAATGCCCAATCTCCACTGGTCGGTGTCCAATCAATAGGGTCGACGACTCCGGGCGGGAAAGGGGCACATATGGAGTTGCTCTAAGGAAGGGACACAGCTGATGCCTCGCTGAGACTGGCCTCCTGAAGACGGCTTGTGGATGGCAATCCGCGCTGTGTGTGCATGTTGGAATCAAGCCGCCACTTTCGGGCAGGGCACTGGCAGCTTTGTATAGCACCCTGACCAGCAGAGGACCGTCCACGTTTCACGCCCGGCTACAGCACAAATCGAATTCAGGAGCTGCTTGCATTCTGCAAAGGGGATGGCAAAGTGTTGGCGCAAGGATCAATCGCCACACTTGAAATCTTGGTGAGGTGTACCCATTTCTTATCCAAACTAGTGCTTCTGTGCAGGTGAACGACAGCACACAAGCTGAGGATCTCATGC